CAATTTAAAATCTGTCAAGAATAAAGTACTACTTATAAAATATCTTATTAGAGTTGTTCTTGCGTTTTAAACAAAAACAAAACTTCACTATGGTTCAGCTTTTCATAACACTCACAATAATACCTTAATACATTTATTAATATATTTATATTAGAGTTGTTCTTGCGTTTTAAACAAAAATAATTAATTAAATTTAGAGTGAACAACTGACCTAGTCCCCAATATGCATGTTTTTGGCCTGTGGAAGACAGAACCCAGAGAAAACCAATACATTAACAAGAACATCATAAAAATATACAGTAAGATCAGGGGTGGAACCAGTGATCTTTGTTAAGCTTATCTGATTTAATCTTGGTTATATATATATAAAAAACACATCTACAACAACTGACCTACACCAAGTACTTTCTCACCTGTGTCTAGACCAAATGCAGCTGCAACCCAAACACTGGCCAAATACCAAAGGAACTCTAAACATTGAATAGTTTAAGGTTAAGGTTATGCGTTGACCACAAATAAATGTGTTATTAATTTTGTTTCTGTGGCTGTTCTTTAAGATCTCTGTTAAGAGTTCTTTCAAATCAAACAAACCAAGGAGGAGTCTCTGATCTGCACATTTGTGACCACTTTGTAAAGATGTGGCAGTGGAACTATTTTGTTTACACAAAGGTGTGTCATTGCCAGGAATTGCCTGGACTTGCCTTTCATGTTGCATTGTCAGATAATCCACACAGAGAAGACGGTGAGTGTACGCAGCAACAAAAGGTCATCTAATGCCATGCTGTAGACATAAATATACTAAAATATTATTTAAAAATGCAATATAGTTTTAAAGTCTGTATTATAACAAACTAAGTCTGAAGCCACGTTGATGCTCCTGTAACAATAGTTTTCTGAGGCTGACATGCATATTACATTTCTTTAATCTCATAACACTAAAATCCTTTTCAGGGCTGTGGGGTGGGTGGAGTTAATCCAGCAGTCATTGGATGAGGATGGGATGAACCCCAGTCAGTTTTTCAAAATCATTATAAAAATAAATCCTAATAACGTAACAACAATAATGAGAAGGTGGACCTATTGAAAGCCCCATCACTGGGCTGCTCTGGGTTCCACCATGACAACGGAGCTACTTTAGCTCACGCTTCTGAAGTCTGGAGACTTTAACTCAAAGTCAATATAGAGATGGAGAGTGCACACAAATAAGTGCCTACACCTGAAGTGATCAGTGAGGGGCAGTAAGTGAAACAAAGCCATAACCCCCCACCCTCTCCAACATCCAAGTGATAAGACAAGAGCAGTGGAGTAGATCAAGGACTCATAAAATGTGTATTGCAGACTGTCTCCAGTGCAGTCTGGGGAAAGAGCAGGAGAGCGAAGAGGAGCCACAGGCACTGCAGATCTGTGAGTGAGCGTGTGCGTCTGAGCAGAGTCTCCTCTCCGCTTTCACTGTCTCCAACAGTGCACATCTACATTTGAAAACCGAACAGGAGGGATCAATACGTCTGAGCAGAAACAACCAGGAGTAGAGGAGAGCAACATCCAAAATGGCAGACTCTGACACAGGACTAAAATCTGTCAGACGAGCAGGAAGTCTCTTATGTTTTTTCCCTGCAACCTTCCATGTCGTGATGTGACTACAGTGCCTGCAAGTCCCAGAAATCAGTTCTTATCTGGTGTATGGGCAACATAACTGGTGATTATTACAAGGCTTAAAGATTGCTTTTCCCTTTGACTAAAAATAACCATGCAGACAAGAGGGTCCCTTTCTGGCGCGATCGTGGAGTTGAAGCAAATTCAACCCACATGCTGTGTTCCTCTGGAGCCTGCTGCCTCATCCAATGCCAGGTCTGTTGCCTGTAAAACTTTCTAGTAAGTCAGCATTCACACAGGCACACTGGCAAGCACACAGACATATGGTCAAAAGCTGAAGACAGAGAGAGAGAGAGTGGGAAAGAGACTGAGAAACTTGGCTTGGTCCTAGACTTAAAGCCAAATCCTGCTCTCCTTCCACCCCCATTCCTTGAGAGCCACCTACGTGGAGGAGCACCCAGTCTTAGACTCGTGCTCAGACTTGAAGCAGTCTATCTTGGTCTCATAACTGCACTTCTCTTGTTAATGACAGACTGCGTAACCTGATTCCACATACACATATACACCAACACCCCTCCCCTTCCCCCCAAAGGACTCTCTTAGGATTTTTCTACAGTAACTGTACAGTACTTTCCCTTTCTTCTACACACAGACGGTTCCAACCTAAACTGCCAGATGCAGCAAAGTAAACACGGAAAATGTACCACTATAAAACATTAACCCTTTGTAACCCAACATCCCATCACCTCACCAGAAACTTTATGGAATTAATAAAACTGTATGAAAGACTCTCCTTCTTTATGCTGCTGCAGCTTGTTCACAAGAAATCGGGGAATACAACACAAATAATACACATGACTGGCTTCATCTTCCGAGTACCTGCATGTATTAAAGTGGCAGAGACCAATGACCACAGTCATTGCCACAATAGTGCAGAACATTCTTGGCCTGATTACCATTAATAATTGGCAGGACAAAGGAAGAGCAACAAACCTGGAAATACTATATACTACACTGATGGACACAGTCAATTACAACAGGTTGAAACTTCTGCAGCTCAGCACAATGTCATAAACACTATCTCAACAGATAAGACAATGAGTTACTGCTACGGTGCCCAAAATAATAAAATCTCCTTAAGTGTCTCAACCACTGGGCATTCTCAGGTTATCAATAAACAATATTTGAGGTATTTATAGGGCTCATGAAGTTTAAGTAGTACTAAACCCATCATCGGGTTCTGCTGAAGCTGGCTTCATTTTGGAAAAGGCCTTTAGGACCCTTGTTTAAGGAAAAAACTTGAGTATAGATTTTTAATATTACTCAGGATATTCACCAAACAACTTCTACTGATGGGAACTGTTTCTCAAGAGGTGAACTTATAACACAATCAGAGCGAACTGAAGCTCAACAATAACACTGCTGTAGACCCAGAGATGGGAGGGAGGAGGGTATTTACAAAAACACAGTGAGTCACTACTATCAGGCTCAGGCCTGTCACCTCAGCCAAAGGGAACAAGATTCCACAGATCCCCTGGAGTTGAACCATATCTCAGCCCAGACTGACTGAAGTCCTTTTACCCAACCACTATCAGCCAGACTTGATGATGCAAGCAGCTGTGGACGCCAGGCGCCCGCGAAGAGGCTGGACCTAAGAGCCAGGCCGACTATAGGGTTACAGCATATAGATAATCAAACAACCACATAAACACCTAGCCATTTACTGAAACTTAATACAGCCACTTAGCATAAACAGCAACCAGAGCTGGTATTTCTGCAACCCTATTACATGAAATTTTGTCACATCCTAACACCAAGAAACACTTATAGGTCAGCAGTACTAGCCTCAATCACCTCAAGCTGACTGGCGTAAGCATCATCCACCTAGACGATAAACAAATGTTAAAGCCATAACATTGACATGTTATAATCTACAACGGGAAAAGTCCTCAACTGCGTACATGACTACCATACATGTTTGTCAGTCATGCTTAAGGCTGACCAACAGCCTTCTTTAGCTGTCTCACCTCACAAAATTGCATGTTTGAGTGCAGCTCAATTGTACAACCAGTGGAGCCTGTTCAGCATGTGGTGAGAATGAAACACTTTTGTCATTTACACAATAATGCAAAACAAATAACATAGTGGCGATGGGATAAGTCAATCAGGAATCACAGGGACCACAGTACCACATCATCCCGACTTGTTACCTCTACTGTGAATATCAGCAGGCAGAACAAAGCATCAAAAAAGAGAGATTTTTCAATGGTGAAGCAGCTGATAGAATGTGACATTTTGTTTGTTCTTTGTCAGGACAAAGGTGTAAAGGTGACAGAAAAAATAAAAACAATTAGCAGACAGTACAAGGCAATTATGTCAATCTCAGAAAATATAAGGGGGATTGATTTTCTTTCTATTTTTAAGAAAAAAAAGTGTGTTTTCAAATCTTTGACTTCTGCTGCACAAAGGCAGACCCCCCCAGACTTCTGAAGCACCAGTGGAGCCTGATTAGTATGTGAGAATGGAATTTGGGTAGGCGAGAATCTAGTTGAATGAGTTGATTCTGGAAGAAACTCACAGTTCGGTGTGAGACGTGCCCATTCGCACATGTTTTAATCGGCTCAATTATCTCTGAATGATTTTGGCGGAGAGTTGACGCCTTAGTAATGAAGTTTGCACCTTCTCATTGAAATTGTCATTTCCTGTTTGCCTGAACGTTCCAGGGTAGACCCAAGAAGAAGAAAATAATTCTGATTCACAACATGTTTAAAGAGCACTTCTGTGTTTCTTTTTTAAGTGGTTCAATGGTACTTTTAAAATTTACAGCAAAGACAACAGTAAGTCACACTTGAGTGTCCTCTAATGTCTTCAGCTCCTCACCCCCTGCAGGACAATTGTGATGTTAAGAGTGCTCAGCAGGAGATGATGAGACACAGGCAGGAACGACCCTCCCAGAGACTGTTTGCATGACAATGGAAAGTCCTCGCAGTGTCACAAGTATCTGCAATGTTGTGTGTGTATGAGAATGTGAGCCTTGATTTGATTGTGGAATTGAAATACAGCGAGATAAGACACTTATTACCATCATAATGCACAGAGCTCATATACAGTACATGCTGATCCCGAGCCCTATGACTATATACATATAGCCATAGGGATATATATACTATATATACTGTGTGTGTGTATATATATATATACATATATATATATATATGAAATGATTATAACAGTTGGATAACATAAAGAGTTTCTTGGTTGCGTAGCTTTTTCAACATAAGAGTTTCTTGGTTGCGTAGCTTTTTCCACTACCGATTCACCAAACTTCTCCACGTCCGCACTTCAACACTGTTTAGTCAACAAATATGTCCTTAATTCAATTTTAAACACACAATAACTGAACTTACCGGTCTCCTGTGTGTCAAAGTGCTTTTTCGGAGGCTGTTGTGTAGAACACAGGTCGAACTATTCTACCATCTCCCGAGAATTCACCGACAAAACCCGATTTGTTTTCCAAAGTGTAAGGAGGAGCAGAGCCTACATGACGCCAACATTGTCGTCGGTGGCGGCTCGGAGGAATACGAAAAAAGTATACACGTATTTTTCAAAAAAGTGATAAATGCGCTCGCTTTTAAGCTAGTCAAAAACGAGGAGACATGTTGTACGCTTTCCTTCGTCGGATACTGGCGGCGTCTGGACTTCTCAACTCTCGCCGATGTGAAGGCAAACAGCCAGAAGTGGAGGAGGAAGTTACCTCGCATCGATTACCCCCAGGTGTAAAGCGGTAACATCAACGCACACGCATCCTAAAAGCACTTCAAAATAAAACTCACAAGAGCGTCTTGTCGGATAAAGGTGCTTCTGATTGTATATTTACGTTTACAACGTTTAGAATTAGTAATGACACTATTTACAATAATATTAATTACTTTATTTCATTAACACTGGACACTAGAGAATGTGTGGATTTATTCATAACGTATACATATAAGACAAAAGTGTTAAAGAGAGAGATCCAGTAAATGACTTTACATTTTAGTGCAACAAGACCTACGAAGTCTCATTATGAAAATAATAATTCCATTATCGTTCTGGTTTTATCAACATGTTTCGATTACGTTTGAAGCGTTGATGACATGCGCTGTGCTTTAAAGCTGAAAAAAGAACACCCTACATTTCCGGTTCAGGTCGTCCTGTCTGTGTCGACTTTAGTTCACTGTTGTGTCGTTTCTGCGCATGTTCTGAAGTCAGTATTCAGAAGAGGTGAAGAGTTCAGGCTTTTGGCCTTTTTTTCCTAAATAAAAATGCTCGGTATGCTAAACAACCAACATGACCAGTAAACTTGCAAAAACACGGCATTTGTTCATTCAACGCATGCAGTGTTTTGTTTGTGTGATTGATCAACTCTGGTTACTACTTGAGAGTTTGTAATGGGCTTTTACAAGACTTAACATTAGCGTTTAAAAACAATTTGATATATTAATATTATACACAGATATACTAAATCACTGTCTGCCACATCAGTTGTCCACGTAGTGTTTGTCCTTAGTTTTTTCTTTGTTTTTGATTTAAAATTGAATATTTTTTCTGGACAGTGAGGTACAGAGGGAACATGAAAACCACCTTCCCCACACAGACCACCCAGTTATGAATGGAGTTCCACCAGCAGATCTTCTTGATGTAAGGTAGGAGCACTAACCACCCTGCCACCATGTGGCGTAACAGCAAAGATGCTAAACCGGATACATGAATGGATTTAAACCTGACCTTGTTGTCTTCTCTGTTTAGCTCTAATATTATTTGGTAGCTTTAAGTGGAATCAATTTTAGTCACCCGACCAAAATGATGACGACTGAGTGTTGTTCGTTATGAACACAGGGTGGTGCTGTTGTCCTTCGGTTTGTGTTGGTAACTGTCCTCAACCTCTCATTCAGAATCAGAATCTAAAATAAATATAATAAAACAAAAACAACATTGAAATAAACATTTTCTAAATGTTTTGAATGAAAAACATATATGTACATATACATATCAACAATAGTATATGCAAGTATATAGAGCGCCAAGTTTAAATTAATGAAATATTTTAAGTAAATTTGAATATTGCATATATATATATATATATATATATATATATATATATATATATATACAGACAAAAAATAAAGTCCTGGTGAGATTTTTTGTTCAGGTCAAAGTTGAAAAAATATAAACTCTGACATTCTGTCAAATGTTTTATACAAAAAACAGACACAGATCAAACATTGCATTTGAACCTTAGCCTTCTGACACAACATATGATGAAATGTGACCACTGTGTGTCACCCATCACCATAGTGAACATGGGGCAAGTCAGGCACCCAGGGAGCAGTGTGTGGGGATGGTGCCATGCTCAGTGTACCTACAACTTGGCAGCTGGTAGATTTAAACCTGCAACCTTCCAGACCCAAGTATGTTTCCTTAACCACTAATCCACCACAAAAGACACTCTTTAATAAAGTTCTACTCTGTTGTGTTCTATTTAAAAACTTACATTATAACAACAACACTATGAAGACTGTTGCTACACAGCATGTAACACAGTATGAAACAATTGTATACGTTTTTTGTGAACTTTTGGAAATGAAGCATCACAACCTACGAATCTTGATCTGTGGTGTTTACTGTCTGGTCTCTGTAAACATGTCTCTGTTTTTAATGTCAGTGACATTGTCCCAAAACAAAACAAACAGAGGTGAACGTCGTCGAAGGTTGATCGATCATGTGTGGGATGTTTAGTTGGACCTGAGACTGAGAGTCCAGTGAAGAGGAAAGCATAAATGAAAGGAACATTTAAAAAACAACAAATTGAAGAGAAACTGAGGAAAAAAATTAACATTTCATTCAAAATAATAATAAAAAAACAACTAAATACACCAGCCATTTATTGAGTTTGAGTTTATTGAGTTTAAGACCTTAAAACCTGCCATCATGTTGTTTTGACTTAGGGTAGTTGCTCAACAGCAGATTTCCCAGTTAGATGAAAGCGATCAGTTACCAAGGCTGTTGCTTCTCGACTAACCCTGATGTTCACCCCCTGTTTGTTTTGGCCTAAAGTTTATGTGCTCTGTGTTTCCACACCTTTGGGAAAATGTCATGGACTCATTAAAAAGAAGCAAGACAGTAAACGGAGTCAACACTAGGTGGTTCAGGTCCAAGTGACCTTTCCATTAAGGAACCACAAGGCTAAAGACGTAAACTTCTGTTAATCTTTGTCAGAAATTAGCAGGGATCCACACTGACATCGAAATATTTCATATTGATCTATCTAAAGGTCAAAGGATTGGTAAAAGGACCCTAAAATGCTCTGCATTTCTATCATTGACTCAGATCGATGTTCTTTTCCAGCATTAGATAAACAAATATTTACCAAAAACAACAAGATTGGTTGGTGATTCTTTGTAATGAGTAGCCAGGGTTTGTTTTCTTATGCACAGTTAGAGGGATAGGGTCCACACTAGGTGTTTAAACAGTGTCTACTTTCATTCTTGAAGACAGTATATAAACAGAAAGACAAAGTGTCTCACAGACCAGAAGCCTATTTTTGGATTAATACCATGTCAGGCTGGAAGTGGAACGACAGCAGCCGTAGCTGCAATGGCACGGAGAAGGTAAAGAATGTCATTTATAAAGTCGTTTTTAAAGAAATCATTACCAAGCCTCTCCTGTGTTGTTCTAATATGATTGCGTGCTTTACTGAGACACCTGGGGACTGACACCAGTGCTGAAATGTTTCTATATTTCTCTCTATATTTAACTGGATCAGTACATAGTTATATTAACATCAATTCAACTCAGTCATAAATCTTGTTTACTAGTTTTCCATAGATAAAATGTGATAGTTTAAAGTTTCCACAAATATAACTTTATGATGCATCATGATTGTGTTATGTAAAGATTATGTGTATCATAAAGATTAGGCGACTGACTCATGTATTTGTGTACGTTCCTGTCAACAGATCAGTGGACTTTCTGTACATGGGAATTTCCAAAATAAGTAAGGAACATTTATTTTTGCCCCTGAGAACTTTGAAAGGGCATTTCCTACATTGAACAACGGTCAACTGTTTCTAACATATTGTTATTCTCTCTCACAAACACGTCTAAAATTGAAAAACGATATTACATAGTTTTTCATCGAGTGAATAGTACTACAATAGTAAGGCCTTTGGTTTACCATTACCTCCACCTTAGACATAGCTAGTTGCTAGCCAATAAAAGGAATTTTTAAAAAAAAATTACATTTGAAAAGCTACCACCATTTAAAAATTACATTTGAAAAGCTACCACCATCAGAGGTTAGCTAAGTGTTTTGTATGTTCCTAAAATCAGTCATCCATTAGCTGCTGATTGGTTAACGTTAGGACATTGGAACACCCACGCTTGTGTAAGGCTCAGCCATAAAAATAAATCATGTTTTTGTTTGTTTTTCTTCTGGATGATAAACTGACAGACGGTCCAGCCCTCTTCGACCTGATGGTTCACCAATTGTTTGTTCTGGGCCCTGGTTGTTTTTGTGATCATAAGAACAGAAACTCCTCTTACTGTAACCAATCAGTGACAGGGTCTGAGGTCAACACTATATCAGCTGAGCAGGCTGAGGCTTTTTTCAGTAACCATAAAAAAACATCACGTACTTGGAGTTTCTGTCGATTTTAAAGTTACTTTCAGTTGGATTTCGAACTTTCTACTTCAGTCATGGCACCGATTTTACTGAACTGTATGGGAAATGATCACACTGAGTACATGAAGTAAGTATCTGAGAGCCTTGAACTATCACACGGGAATTATGGTACCTTAAAACTGTCTTAAGAGGGTTGTAAACTCAATTCTTGACCAGGATAAATTATATTTGTCTTAGATCTTTTTGACTCACCCTCATATATATATTAGAACGGCATGTTTGTTCTTTCTCTGGACTTATATGTACCTCCAAAAATGTTTTTCTTAGACAATATGTCCAGGTGAAAAACCCTTACCTGGAAACCATGGAGGAGGACATTCTGTACCACTTCAGCCTGAGCACCAAGACTCATAACCTTCCAGAAATGTTTGGAGACATTAAGGTTTGTACGAGAAACAGAACACAGTGCGGAGAAGTCGTCTGTAGAAGATTAACTCGAGGTCCAATATCTCTTTATTTTTCTGTTAGTTTGTGTGTGTTGGCGGCAGCACAAATCGCATGAAGGCCTTCGCCCAGTTCATCCACCAGGAGCTGAAACAGCCTGGAAACCCAGAGGACCTCCGAGACATCTGTGAGGGAACCGACCGTTACTGCATGTACAAAGTGGGACCAGTTCTGTCAATTAGCGTAGGTGTTGCAAGTTGACATTTTCTCAACATGACGATTGATGATGCACATCAATGTTGGCTAATTTCTAAAAAATACTGTCTACTGTTTACTATCCAGCATGGCATGGGTGTCCCATCCATCTCCATCATGCTGCATGAGCTGATCAAACTGCTGCACCATGCGCAATGTCGTGACGTGATCCTGTTTCGCCTCGGAACTTCAGGTGGAGTCGGTGAGTTCCTCAAGAACTAGAAATTCCTCTTTTAGAATGAACTAAAAATGAATTGTTTACATCATGGTTCTCTTATAAAGGGTTATTACTCACATATTTAAAAATGTTTAATATTTAATATCTCAGCATTAAATGCCAAGCGATGTGACAAGAACCCTGGATGAGCCAACATTTATATTTATTTAATTTTATATATATATTTCCCCCAGAATTAAATATATGTAAATATTCCATTTAGATAATGGAGACATTTCCCTTGGATTTTTTCACAACACCTAGTAGGTGGTGCTTGAGCCATCTCTCCACCATTTTGGGGTCTTTGACCTTAAAAAAGGTCGAAGACCTCTTCAACGTTACATAACGTCCGTCTGATCTGTGTCTTCTTGTCGTTGATGTAGGTCTGGCTCCTGGAACTGTGGTGATCACCGATAAGGCTGTGGATTATTCCTTCCGCCCTCAGTTTGAGCAGGTGGTCCTGGGTAAAGTTATCACCAGAAGCACAGAGTTGGATGAGGGAGTGGCCAGTGAGCTTCTGCAGTGCTCCTCTGAGCTCCAGAATGTTCCAACAGTGATTGGCAACACCATGTGCACCCACGACTTCTATGAAGGTGGAGTATACCACCTATACCTTATCTGTGGTTTAAACCCCTCAGCTGGTCCCAGGCACTGTTAATGAGAAGCCGCTCCTGTGTCTCTTTAGGTCAGGGCAGACTGGACGGTGCGCTCTGCTCCTTTTCTCAAGAAGAAAAGTTGGAATATTTGAGGAACGCTTACGATGCTGGTGTCAGGAACATTGAAATGGAATCGACTGTTTTTGCTGCAATGTGTCGTGTCTGTGGTCTGAAAGGTACGGCGGGTTTTTGCCATAAAATATGAACCTTTTATTGGCCGTCTTTAATATATGTGACTGGATTTTTCTCTTTTCTTTGTCCTGCAGCTGCTGTCGTCTGTGTTGCACTGCTGCACCGCTTCGAGGGGGGACAGAGTACTGCTCCCCATGATGTGCTGGTGGACTACCAGCAGAGACCTCAAGTCCTTGTGTCCCACTTCATTAAGAAACGCCTGGGACAAATCATCTGAACCGTCTGTCCATCACTACATTCCTGAAACATGTACATAGCTGTGACTTAAATTTAAATACGTGTATATACTGTACTTAGATGTCAATATGTGTATTTGACGTTTATTTAATAAACTTTTACGATTTTCACAGTTTCTGTAATGAACTAGATGTCAAATACTTTTTCACAGTTTCTGTAATGAACTAGATTAGATAATAGATTATATGTTGCTATATACTGTATGTTAACATTTATCAATCTGGTGCTAATGTATAGACCAAGTGTTGCTAGCCTTTGTTTCTACTATTTCAACTACTTGAGTGACTACCAACATTTAATCTAGGTTGTTTACTGTATGCACATTTTTATGTTTTTTTTATCGCATGTTTGTTATATATGTTTGTTATGTGAAAAATATCAAGATTCTTCTTTGGGGTTTCTCCCAGTGTAAAGAGATATTTAAGTGAACAGAAAGTTGATTTTGTTGGGTTATATGTATATGTGTTTGTCATTCTTGAAGAAACTGCAGTATACTGTATTTGTTAAAATGCAATAAACACAAATAGAAAAAGTATTTTTCTCTTTCATTATTACCTAAAGCTCCATGTAGATCCTGTGAGTACACTGGGGATGCTAATGCTAACTGATCATACTTCAAGCTTTAAATACTGGATTTTAGCAACTGCTAGGAGAGACCTGCTGCTAGACTGCCTGCACCAATACATGTGGTTGCTGCAGACATTTCTTTTTTTTCCTTTGTTTGTTTGGTCATGGTTTTTGTGCATTTGATACAGGTGATATTATCTGCAAGAGTTTACAATAAAATATTTTCACTCTACTTTTTAACACCCTTTATAAAATAATTTCCACCTTGTTTAGACCAGAATGGTCTTAAAGTGTACCTCCACTGACGCTGTGTCTATTGCCAAACCTTTGGTCAGAAGTTGAATGAGGATTCTGTGTCCCGTCGTGGTGGTCTTGGTGGTTTGATAGTCGACAGAACCTGTTTGGTGTAGAGGCTGTACTGCAGGCCAGCCTGGCGCAGCGCCTGCTCAACTCGCAATCTGGGATCAGACTCAATCTGGAAAACAAATAGTGGAAACCTGATCATGATATTTGCAGCACTAAATAAAATAAACAACGAAAGAAATAAATTGTCAGGTGTAGTTAAAATGACTAAAACTAAAACAACCATAATAAAAACCGCAATAACATGTTGTAGATTTAAGCCAGAAATGTCCATAAGTTTGATAGTAAATCAACTAAAACTTCAACAAAAGGTTTGCTAAACGTTAGCTTATCAAAAAGGTCTTTGGAAAATTGGTAGATAAGATAAATGAAAGGTAGACATGAATAGCTTAAAAAAAGGTTAAAGTTAGACAACAGTTAAAAACAAACAATTAGACATAGTATACTTTTGGACCAACAGTTTTAAACAATTAGACATAGTATACTTTTGGAAACTCAAAATATTCCACACAATAGTAGACTTTAAAAAAAAACCCAACAAATTACTAATAAATGTAGTTTACAATATCACAGTTTCAGTCAATATCAACAGCAAGGGTTACGCAATCTTGACCCTCTCCCTTCACATTGATGAGGAATCAAGACACTTAGTGATTTAGGGGTCTGCAGATTAGGTTTGTTGTTGCTGGTCGCTAATCCAAGGACAAACACTGTTTGACAATCTTGCATAATCCCCACCCCCACAGAGGGCACTGTTCCATCCACCCCCTGAAGAAACAAAACATAGGTGGCTGGATGTGATCTAACAGGAAGGCAGGACATGTTATCTTTGGCCAAAGATAAGGAGTTTGAGGTTAGTCTTTGTTTATTTGTCTAGCCTTTGTAATCAGAGAAGCAAGAAGCGCAGTTTGAATAAGGACAGACGCTTCACCTGTGTGTTTGTGTATGTGTTAATACTGAAGAGAGGTCTTTGGAGCTCAAGCTCCTCCTCATTCAAACGTCGACTCCTCCAAGCCTCCGTCTCTGCCATCAGTCTCTCTGGATCCGCCTGTACCACGACGGCAACCTTGGATAAACGGAAAGAACATTATTTAACAGGGGGTGACGACGTTCAATGTTCTCACCGCGAGGGGGCAGCAAAGCCTCGTCTCAGAAAAACTGTGTTTTGCCAAATCCAATGACGGTGGAAATAATGAGCGGTGGAGGAGGTTAAGAGGAGATAATGATGCACCTGGTTTCGGAGAGCTTCCAGACGATTCTGTTTGTCTTCCTCTTGTTTCTGACGCTCCAGCTCCTTCTCGTCTCTCTCCTCCTTTCGCTGCTGCAGCGCATCCTGCCTAAACAGCACCCTGGAGGCAACACAGAAGGTGTGGGCCAGATTCAAGCAGTTCCCCTCTCCCTCTACCAACAATTGCTTTTGCTCCCTGACACCGTGTGGCCTCCAGCTGTGGAGGTTTTTATGGACGGGTCTGCTATCAGTTGCCCCTCATGGCTTTCTAGACTTCCCATTGTTCTGTACTCACATTTCAGACAAGCGTCACCGAGATTAACCCTTGTGTTGTCACTCACAACCTGTGTCCTTTTTCCCAAAGTAACTTTAGTTACTCTGGAAAAAGGAAAAACAATTATTATCATTGCCTAAACTTAACGTACTCAAATTCAGGTTGTGTTTGCAATAGGTGAATTAAAATCTATCCCAAGAAATTTGATTAGGAGTGATCAAATTTGAAAAAAGCTTCTTTTTTTATATATATATATAAAGGGGTGTGGCCTCTTTGTGACATCATCTTCAGAAACCAATTGGATCTGGACAGTCTTTTTTATGTAAGACTTGTGCGATTTTCTCTATGTGGATCCATTGCATTAGTCCAAATGTATTTATTTTTGTGTAGTAAAAATCTTTATGAAAAATGAGTAATTTAGTAAAATGATCTTTATGATCATCCTCCATGTCCATTATTTTAGTCCAAATTTCTTTCTTTCTGTGTAGTAAAAATCAACTTTATGATCATCCTCCATGTCCATTATCATTAACAGAACTAGTAGTTCAAGACATTATAAGATGTGAAGCAACACAATAGACCAGCAAAACAACAGGCGCGGTGGCCAAGTGGTAAGGCGTCGGTCTCGTAAACCGAAGATCATGGGTTCGAACCCCATCCGTGCCTTTAATATTTGGCCTAGTGATTTAATTTAAAATTATAGATCTAAAGATGTTGTGATGGCACAAATATTTAACATGGATGGGTTAAACTGAAGGACATGGCATTTTATGTACCAATATGTACATAAGTACAGTATGATATTGTTTTCACGGTTAATGTTGGACTGTGACTAGTGACAGACCAGTGGAAATGAATAATATATTTATGCTGGTGCTTCACTCACCTCTCTTTATTTTTCCTGGCCTGTTCTTCCATGACGCTCCTCAGATAAGCAAGTCTCTTTTCATCTCTCTGCTGCAGCTCCTCCCTCCTCTTCTCCTGCTTTAAATTAAACTGCCTGACCTGCAGACAAAAGCAACAATTTACACCAAAGTGCGACAAAAAGTTTCCAAGAACGGTCGACACGGCCCAGATAATCGACGTCCACGAAACTCTCTGGAGTGTCATGTCTTATTGATTGTGTCAGAGGAGAAATCGGAGGAGTGTAAATAGATGGTAAGTGACAATATTTCAGCATCAGGCGGAGCGCCGTGCTAAAGTATATGGAAAGCATTACAGCCTAAATGCTCTCATTAATCAGTGTCTCAGGTCGGCCATGATCGTTTACAAGACCCTGAGGTGAGAGTTAATTAAACAGCTGCACACACACAAACACACACACACTGGATTCGAATACACTATTTTTATTAGGATTCTAATTGACTTATATCTGTTCAATAACAGTAACCTAATGTCGACTTATATCGCTGCTCAGAAAAAACAACTAATCCAGGTTGAAACCAATTGATACAAGCTAAGATAAACTAGACTAGATAAACTATGTTAATGTTAATGTGAGTGTAATTTAACTTTGTTAAAGCTAAACTGAGCTAACTAAGCATAAGCTCTATGTTAATGTCAGCATAACTTAACTTTGTTAGGCTAAACTGAGCTAACTAAGCATAAGCTAAGAAGAGCAAAGGTAAACAAAGCTAATAATGTTTGGTTACAATATCAGAAAATCTAAAATAATGAATATAAAAAATGAAAAGATGTAAAAAAAAAAAGATGTAATGGTGTTTAATCACAATGTGTATTAACAGTGGTTATGAGGTAAAAGTTGCATATTGCACATAGTTGAGGTGAACACGGATATGTTTAGAGGCACATGGTTAGAAAGAAAAATACAAATCCAAAGATTTAAAAACAAACAAACCAACAAACATTACCTTCTCTTTCTGCTGTGACCTGACAGCAGCTTCCTTCTCCTGCTCCCTCTTTAACCTCGCCTTTTCCTCAGCTTGTTGTCGAAAAGCTATAGCCGCCTCAAGCATTGCCACCTCCTGCTGCTGTTCATGCCACTGCTGCAGCTACAATGACATGCAGAAACACACACATACACACACACAAATACACATCATCATAGGAAAAGGAAGAAGAAAACAGACAACTGTCCATCAACCATTAAAGACAAGCAGCTGTGCCCCTGCGCCCCGGTGCCAAAGTGTGGCATGGACTTTTGAAGAGTTGCCTTTCACACTTCACCTGGGATCAGCTCAGAAACTGTTAAAATACTGAATCATAATGAGAGCCAGCATGTCTGGGACTGATAACAAGCCCTGTATGTTGTTGTGCAGGCAGTGTTGTCCAAACACTGAGGCTCAGTGCTGCCAAAATGTCACCTAATGACAAGTTGGTATTTATTCTATAAAGATTACATGCCAATTAACTAACAAACTAAAATACTAATTAACGTTCAAGAAGAATGAGTCAGCAAGACTGTGTATTTACACACTTTAAGTGCAAAAACAAAACAAAAATAGGAAATAGTAATAAGTTTAAACATAACCATAATTGTGATAAAACCTTATGTAAGTGTTAAAGTAAAGCAACAATTTTGGGTACTGTGTACATGTGGACTGTCAAAATTAAAATGTTAGTTAATTTATGAAATTATTCAGATAAAAAAAATATTAAAAACGGCATGGGGGAGAATTACATGCATTGTAAATCCATTATTTCCAATAAATGCAAAGCTACCCCTAGACTGATCAGAATGTGTTAAAGCTCAGTTATCAGTTATTCATTTTGTTTAATTCATGATTAATAAAGATTAATTGTAATAAATCTACAGCTGTGGTGTGAGATTTAACTATTTGATAGCCATAGTTTACAAGATTTTCCCAACAATGGGGTATGCAGAGCTCCCTCCCTCCCATCACATTATATAACCTGCTCTCTTTGAAAACAGGCTCGGACAGACCTATTGACTTATGAGAATCACAGGCTGAGCAGAGAGAAGCTTCTCTGGTGGGTCATTATCCAACACAAGTATGTAGTTAAAACCAAATGAAGGCTGAGCAGGAGGACAGTACAGTCTGATCTATGCGTACTGCTTATTAGGTGCACCGTCACTTACTAATAGGTGCCAAGTACTCACCAGTCGATCTTTCTGTTCTAGCCTGTAATAGGCTTCACATTTCTGCAAACTTTCCCCAGCCAGCTGAACACAGATGTTCAGTGAGTGACAGGTTTGTTATGCAGCAGCTCGGTGGTTAAAGTGTCACACTGATACTAAACAGAAACTCACAGGTGCAAATCAGGAATTCCTAATAGACACAAACTGCAAAATTCACATAAATCAGCGTCACAGTTGTAACATCAAGTCATTTACACTTGATGTGTGCCAGTGAAGAAGCAGCAGGTGTGGGTTTGACGATGGCTTTAAATCTAGCCCGCTTTTAATTTGGCCTGATGGTTATTGAAAAAAAAGATGTAAAATGTTATATTATGGTGGCTAATAAAAAAACATTTTCTGACAATAATTATTAATCAACTACAGAGTCAAATGGGCTGAACTTTTAAGCCAAAAATTAAACGTCTACAAATAACTTCATGCACAAATTTGCATATTTTTGAACTGTGGAGAGAACGCACTGGCCGAACCAGCTAACCTACAATGTTGCATATTATGTCTTTGCTTAGACAGAAATGGAAAGACACAGAGGAGAAGACTGTGGTTATTAAGTAAATGTCTACTGCAATTTGTCAGTGGAATCTCATTTTGTGTGAAATCCGCATGAAAATAGCAGAATGTCAGAATAACAAAAGAAGAATAGCCGTCTTATCTGCACACCGCAGCTCCTTCAGATCCTTTGTTAATAGGAAGAAAATGTTCATAATATAACATCACCTGCCAGGGCATTTGCAGCTGGAACTTTTAACCAAAGGTGATTTACTTCACACTTGATGCGTGAAATTATATGTGTAAATATGTATATATATAAATAACCTTCTCGGTTTTAAATATACAGGAAACGGTATATGTTTTTACCACTCTTAAAAACAATAAATTCTAACAACAAAATGTTTATTTGGCTATACAAAACAAGAAAAAAAATGGGTCAGAATATTTTCCTGTATAACCTTAGATGTGTTGCATCCTTAGAAATTATAGTAGCATCGTTGGCTGTGGGTGAAAATTAGTTAGAACACTGTTTAATTCATCTGTTTTCTTTTGGTTGGTGTTTAGAAAAACATCTACAGAGAGCACTTTGTTTGTTTAAGACTGAATTATTCATCCAATCCCATCAAGTTATTACACTGGTGACTCTTCGACAGGTAAATATTAAATTGTAACATCCAGTATAGGTTCAGAGCACCATTCTTAACTAAGAGAACAAGTTTCTTCTAATGATGAATTTGTAGAAGACCTATGCAATTAGATCTTTGTAGCAGAATAATGATGAATTTGTAGAAGACCTATGCATTGGAAAAAACTGTGACTTTTGTGACGTGTATTATTAGCAGCCATAATCTCAACTAAAAAAAGTGATGTGTATTACTCATTATTAGCAGCCATAATCTCAACTAAAAACATAACTTTAAAAAAAAAGTGCAATTTCCCCTGCAATTTCCTCACATGCCACTAGGAGCCACATATCGCAGAGTACAGTGTGTAATCGCAGGCCAAGAAAACAACAGCGTTAAAAGCAATGGCGTTATTACCCAGAGTTATTTTTCTTCAGCGAGCTAAATGCTGAAACAATTACATTGCCTACTCTCAACTTGTTACAGCTGTGTCCACCAGGACAGCAGACAGATGAAGACATCTTCTTGTTAGTACCAGATACTGCGGTGCTTAGATGAAACAGCAGAAAGGGCATGGATAGCCACTCAGCACAAGATAATCTGTTGGAGTTCTGTTTATATGGCGCAGTAGTCTGAAGAACAGGAAATGAAAAACCAGCTCTTGTGATAAAAGGCCACCCCTCATCTTATGAAAACCTCTTTTTTCACGGGTTATGTAATTTTTCCCCTTGGACAGCTCATCCCTGAGCATTTTAAGGAACAATATGCCACTCCTGCAGGCTTTATTTACCCGTGGAAAACACAAACTCTCCTCAAAGATGCCTGAGGGTGGACTACAAGTGGGAGGCAAAATGAAAAGCAAGGACAGAATAAAAGGCTAACACTGCAGAACAAAAGCAGCTAATTACAGCAGTCAGAGCAGAGCAGAACAAACAACCGATGGTTTGAAAAAGGAACGCCTGTGTTTCTGTGATAAATTGAAAAACTAAATAAGGTATGTCCTGTGTGCCATGTGCTAAAACTGTCTGTGTTAATCATCCTGTTGATTTTGGTTTTGACAGACAGTAAACAGCATCTACATTTTTCTGCACACCTGCAGTGGCGTGACACTGAGTCACAATCCGTGCTAATGCTTCTGTTCAGATATGAATCCATCCAGGCGTCTTTGCACGGAACCCGTGGTTCTTCACAGCAGATGCTACAGTACCTACTGTATAACTGTTATCACAGCCCAACAGAAGCGTACACAATGACTCGATGACTGAAATCAATAACACTGGATTTCTTCACTTCCTACCACCCAGAAGCAAAGTGTCTGTACCTGCTGCACTCAGACGCAATCAAATCAAAACCTGACCAGCCATCATCACAAATCCACCATCTCACCAGAAGGTGGACCACCAACCTTCATGGAGGTGAAGTGGTTTCCAAACAGGAATTATTATTATTGTTATTTGTGTGAGTCTAGTGACTGAAGCACACACATACAATGATTTATCACCAACGGCTCATTTGAATATTTTTGTTACAGGAAATGCAAACACACAAGTTCATTCTATTGATAGATGAGATATATTTTTGCTAAATAATTAAAGTAATTTTGTTTCATTTTGAATCGCAAATAAGACAGTATTTTGTTTGGCGTATTTTGTGTGTGTTAATAAGTTAATAATTAATAATTTAACAATAGTTTCAACGAAAGTATATGATGTGGTGCCAGTAGGCAGGGATCCTACCTTTGTTTTTGTCGAAGCAAGCGATTTGGAGCTCTTTCGCTGATTCAAAATAGAGCCAACAGGGGTCAGTAAAGCCATCTCAACACCTCCTCGTTAGTATAGTGGTGAGTATCCCCGCCTGTCACGCGGGAGACCGGGGTTCAATTCCCCGACGGGGAGATCACTTTTAGTTTTTTCCGGTAATGTAGCGATTATTACGACTGCTTAGACAAAAGCCACACAGAACGATCTGTGTTGAGAACGATGCAATTGTCATTATTTTCAATAATGCAAAGCTCTGAGTTAAGCCCTAAGATATAGAAACAAGATAGGATAGGTTAGCATTATTAGCCTAGCTGAGCATAGGAGGAGACAGACAATAGCGACTAACTTCTTGAAGTATTATTCCTCATGTGACATGTATTATTCTTCATGTGACATGCATACAAGATGCCGAGAATGAAGGTCTAAATAGGTACCAGGTTTAAATGCTAATGTTGGATAAGTACAGCCCCACAAAACACCAGAGACTGTACAGTAGCAGGTCAGCAGTTTCATTGCCATAGCCAGCCATGTGCGACTGACCCCTTGGTCAGAAGTGTTGTATCTACAGTTTACTTTTATGGAGCAGTTTCCAAATCAAGATGTCAGTATAAAACAAAAACAACTTTTTGACTAGCATTAGAATAATGCGAATCAATAATACAGAACCAGAGAACTCAACTCCCGCAGTAGGCATAACAACTGAATTCATACCCCTAAAGGGAAATAAACAGAAAATCACTAAAGGATAGTGGCGTATTTTGTTTTCATATATGGAATAACAAAATAAACCAAAACAAAAATGCTGCAGACTTGGTTTTTTGAGGTGAATTTCTTACCAGGAGAATAAAGAAGGAGCGTTTAATTTGGTAACATGTCATGCACACTAATATATAACTCAACACTGTTGTTACCATGTCAATGATTACAAATATTCCAGAGTGTTTTCATGCAAAGCATGTTGCAATACCACAGACCGGCTTCATCATTGTTTAAAGCTCTAAACAAGAACCTTTTGAACACAGGCCACTCACAGTGGTAAAAACTGTACATGACTTCTACCACCTGGTACTTCACAGCCACGTATATGAGTGAATAAAGGTAAATAAGCAATAGACGAGTCAGTGGACGTGCTGGAGGTCACAGGGAGCAGTTGTTACAGAAGTAAATACAACAGGAGGAAAATCCATCACTGCGTTGTGCTGTGCTGAGGTGATAAAGGCCGTGGAAAGAAAAATCAGGGGCAGAGAAGAAATCCATCTGATTCTCACAAAAACTCAAATATCTGCTCATGCAACAGAGCCAATGAATCAGTAGCAGCTGCTTGTATCTTTTGGGGGTCTGACAGGAGGTCATCTACATAATGTATGTGATGTTGCCTTTCAAACACAAACCTCTGTCCTTCAGTTGTAAGAAAAGAGGTAGACTCAAACTCACACTCTTCTAAATGTAAGGCGAGGTACAACACTGAGAACAGAGAGATCCATATTTACCCAGACTTTAAAACAAACCTGCCTTTCATAAACAGGTATATTGCAGGGATTCCCAAAGCGCTGTTTATGCACTCCTGTGGGTGCACCAGCTGCCACTGGTGGTCACACAATATTTTAATTAAGAAAATAAATGCATGCTAAATATGTGTGTTCTGGTCATTTGAACCTGATTAAAAACATTTTTTTCCCGAGGTGTGGGTAACTGGGGGTCTGTCAACCTGGTTGCGAAATAGAAGGGGTTACGTGGCCGAAAACGTTCGGGAAATGCTGGTTTATAGAATTCATTAATTAATCAATTCAGTATCGTTAATTAATCGAAAACTTTTGATATTCATTAGCTGCTGTCCTTCCAGCTGAATGTGAAGAATCACCAAATGTGAATTTGAAGTGCAGTTGGGTTTTTTACTTCCTTGTCCTTCCTATCATAAAGCCAAAGCTTAAGACACTATTCTAAATGTTCAGCTGCTGCTCCAGTGCAACTCTCTTTTATTGTTTGCCAGCTGTATCAAAGACTGCCCTTGTTTGTCTTTGCTAATGTGACCCAGTGCACCTCACAGACAGCGACATTAGCGCGTTAGTGAGATCATTCTTATTAGCTTGTCTGTATTCACAGATCATCCCAAAAGGCTGTTAAAGTGAGCACTGATGTCAAGCTGCTGCTGTAACGTGCAGCCTCATCAGCAGATCTACTGTACAAAAGTCAGCAGTTAAACTGTCTAATGCCACACACGTATACTGGGTAGGCAGCAGAATAATTAACTTCTGTTTCCCTGTGGTGACATAAAACCAACATTTAAAGTTTTAGTTCTTAGTGAGCCTATATATTATCTCCATTGTTTTCCTTTTTCAACTGTTTTAGACTTTCACACCAGAGACTGACCTTCTGTCTAAGTCGCATACATATCTCCTGCTGGTTCTGACGATCTCTTTGGTGCTCCAGCTCCTCCTGGTGGGCGTCTCTTGCCTCTTGCAATGTGACCAAAGCGCTGGCTTGTAGCTCTTCCTGGTCACGTTGCCACTGCTGGGTCACTGTGCTCTGCTGTGCCTGGGTAAAACGCTGCCAGTCCAGCACACGCTCATGCTCCATCTGCAGAAACCACATGCACAAACATACAAATGCAGTTTGTACAAGGAATTAACAAGGGGCAGAGTACATTAGTTATTCTTAGAAATACTAAAATGAATTATTAATGAGGGGGAAATAGATTTTAATTATTAAAAACAAGATAAAGGGCTACCAAAACAATTCAATATAAACATACAGTTGCAAACACTGTACAGCAGACGACAATTGTAGCTGTGCCACAGGGAGAGCCTAGGTCAGTTTTGGCTCAGCTGGTTTATAAAATGGTCTGTAGCAGTGAAATGTCCTGCAGTCAAAACAGTTCTGTTTGCTGTGACGGCTGCCAGTAGCTATTCATCATTGTGTCATCACTCACAGAGGCTCCATCACTTGGCTGCTTTATTGGAACGGAAGGAAACACATTTGTCTTTGGGCTTATAGTGGCTAAGTGACAGAGGAGAAGTAGTAGACGCTGACTGAAATCATAGAAAATGAGTGATCTGACAAACGTAAGAGCAGTCAAGCAAATCCTTATTTTTAATGCATGACTTTTGAAAATGAAAGAATATCCATTCTTTGTTTTCCATACCCCCCTCCCACCTTCCCACTGTGACTTCTGCCTTAGTTGTGCAACAAGGTGTGGAAAAACCATGAACACATCTGAGATGTATGAAAGCCCCCGGGCAAGCTTGCAGTTTAGCGTTCAACACACGGGATGTATAGAGAAGCATCCACTGCACTGTGCCTGCAGTGCATTGGTTATGTCGCACGGCAATGCTGCATCCGCAACAACCTCTGCAGAGAGGTGTCTAGATAAGAGCAGAATGAAATATATAAGATAAGAAACGTCGAAATAGGAGAGAAGCTAAAAATGTCACTCTAAATAAAGTCACAAGTCATGATGCGTTCCAATGATGAAATATTATGGATATAAAATATTGACTTTTGCTCCCTTTGTCTATAAGCAAAGTCTATAAGGAAAGGACATGGTGGATAATAATGAGGTCTTTTTACTGTGGATAATAAGGTGGATAATAATGAGGTCTTTTTACTGTTCATACAGAGAGGAACTTTATGCTACACTAAAATAACTGTCACCACCAGTTCAGGGTGGAACTGAGAAACTAATTTAATTTTAGGAGGTTAGTTATTGTCACTAGGGTGACTCTCCAAGCAGTGTATTTGTTCTACTTTTTATAGTAACAAAAATTATTAAAAAGTCAATGGGGGAAAAAATATTCACACTGTTGTTTTTTTGTGGCTCTAAATTCATTTTTATCACTGATCAAATTGACCATGTGGGATGACTCATCTTACCTCGGGAACTACAGATGGTTCAAATCACAACTGCTCAGAAATATAGCCAAGGAACATACTATCCTATGAATTTAAATCACTCTCAAGTGAAGACAGAGAAACTCAGAATGAGAAAAATGCATTAATTTAGATAAAAGATTATATTAAAAAAAAGATTAAAAACTGTGTTGCTGCCATCCTTTTTATGCTATCTGTCGATGTTTAGGTCCCATAACATTGGGCTAATCAATAACCATAGGTTACAAATGGTTTAACTGAACAAAACTTTACCTTAGTTCTATAGAACACAGCTGTTCTCTGTGTTCCAAGCTCTAAGTGTAAAAAAAAGATCTTTATGAAGTTAACAGCTATGACATTTACTTCAGAAACCCTAATATTATAGCAATTTGCTATCCAATCTCATCTTAACCGTAAATGTCAACAAAGTAATTTCCTTTCACAGTACGTACTGTACATTGGGAACAAAATGTCAAAGGACAAATGCACGTCATTGGTGTGTCTCAGTCACCCAGGTCATTTTGACCGATGCAGTTAGGTTAGCAGAAGGTAACTAGACTCTCTGGGTTTCTTGAAAATCTAAATGGGATCATGGTTCATACATCTGTCTTGACAATATGAGCTATCGAAGAAAAAACAGAAACTAGTTAATGGCTACTTCCTGATCTTCAAATTATGACTCAGGCATGTTCAATTTTTCACACATTTCCACAAACCTCCTGTTGATTATTACTCACATTTTCAGCTCTTCTGTATTTAAATAAGATCAAATAAATACATCATTAGTTATGTTTAAACAGGGTGTTAGAGTAGAGTTTACTTGAGCCTGAAATAGCAGGTTCCTTGACATATTCACCCAGACTATTTTTTTTTCTAAATTCTGCAGATACTATATACAAAAAAAGTTAACAGAAACAAAGTAACTGTGGAATTAGACCACCTCATTTTTCACTGTACCCTTTTCTGTGTATCAGTAAAATCCAGATGAGATTTTCAAATCCACCTCCTCTCATACAGCACACTGTATTTATTGATTACACCCCATGAAATCTTAAAGAGCTAATGCTACCCTATCATCCCAATAAATCACATCGCCCCAAATGCAGGGTCATTTGTGGTTGCCTGAGTGTGTAAGAGTAAAATGGGAGACAGATCCATTAGATACTGAGGGAAAGCATGCCTTGAGTGACAGGCAGAAAACCTCCCTCTATATAATATGTATCTAAAAACACTGTTTACTGATAAAGTTCAGAGTTGGCGATCAGTAGTCATGAATATAGTTTGGTTTCATCTTAAATGTATTATAAAAAAATAGCATTAATCTGACTAAGTGTTCTTTGAAAAAGCACATTGAGATTTTTCACTATACAAATAAGAAATATTTGACTTTAATGAAGGCATAAAAACGGATTACAGCACTGAACGGAACTTATTATGTTCAGGTTCTGAACCAAGAAAGAAACCAGATGGATCTCAGTGATTCTTACTGAACATCCCAGTTACAAACTGTCCTCACACACAGGCAGCACCCACTGATTTGAAGACCGTGTCTCTGGGTGTGGATGAGGTAGGAGCTAGGGGATGGCGGTCGTCATGGCAATGTGAGGCTGTGAGGTGAGCGGGTTGTCCACAGCGGGTGACATGGCACATCCTGCAGCGTGCTAAGCAGATCATTGTCCAGGCATGTCTGTGTGTCTCTGTGCTTGGTTGAGGGCACTGAGCTGTATTGATCTGACAGACTGGGAGTCCCAGTGAAGAGCTGCTTTAGAGCTGGGAGTTAAGAGGGGCGCCAGTGGAAGTGGCTGTATTGATATTCAGGATGTGAAAGTGCCCCACGGGATAAATCTGGCTGTTTAGTAAAGCCCTTAACTCTCAGTTTCTAAGTTGTCAGCAGACAAAATTGTGATGGCAGAGAGTGGAAAAAGTAACTAAGTCAGGATGAAGCACAGCTATAATATTAGTAGTCCAAAAAGTGGCAGAGAGTGTATTTGGAAAAAGTAACTAAGTCAGGATGAATCACAGCTATAATATTAGTAGTCCAAAAAATTTAGAAAAAATAATAATAATTTACTAAAAAACTAAATCAGATTTTATTAGTGTACCTGCAAGATGTGTTACTTTTTTTCAGTTTTTGGAGTCAACAAATTATTAAAGCTTTTCAACAGGTATTGAGCTAACTACAGCTGAATTGCAAGGAGCTCAATTTCAGTTCTCAAATGAGAAAGATAATTGATTAATACATTATTTTGTTTTAAACAATAACTAAAGGTGCAGTACTCATTGCTCATTTCACAAAATATGGTAAAGCATAATTAATCTAACCACTTCATCATGTGGTAACCTACAGTTTGCATTTAAACCTAAATGGTATTTATTGAGTTTGATGTAAAACTGTTGCAGAAATTGTCTGCTGTAAGGTGGTTGTTTTTTTTTTCTTTTGAAAAGGCGAATGGCAGTTAACAGCATTCAGTGTCTGTTCCATCTGGTTGTTTATTTTATTGTTTACCCAGCCTTTGGCAATTCTGTTGTTAAGAGCACTAAAGTCAAAGCAGGAAATAAACTAGATGAGAAAAAAGGTCAATAACTACAGTGGCAGTTGGGATATAAATTCTTCATTTCTTAATACATCTTAATGCATTTTCGCTGTATATTTTTGGCAGTTTACAGTTCTCACTCTGTCTTTGACCGGAGGATTTATTTGAGTAAAACTGGCTTTAATTGACAATTGAAAAATAAAATAGTGTACTGACCAGATCTTGTCTAGTCTTTTGAGGAAAGAGCCTTTGCACCATGTCCAAGCAGAGAGACCTGTTGTTGGGAATGTCGTGAGTGTACTGAGACACTGTGAACTGGTAGCGCAGGTGATCGTCTGGAGACCAGCCACAGAACCTAGAATTAAAAAAAAAAAAAAATTACCAAAAAAGATGCAAAATGACTCAAAGATGAATACAAAAATGGAATGTGGCAATGATCCTACTTCGCAAGCTCTATCAAAATCCATAATTTCAATTGTCAAGTTCTATTGTTCATCAAGACTAGTCGTTAAACAGTAGCTCAAAATCCCACTACATTTTACTTATTCAAAGTGTGTGTAAGAAGCAAAGCTGAGCCTGCGGGCCGACCTGTCAGTCCTTTGCAGCTGCTCTTGAAGACTATTCAGCCTGCCCTGATACATTTCTGACAAGTAGTGGAAGGCCTGAATCAGTGAGTCTTTCAGCTCCGTGTAAGGACAGTCTGAATCCAAAACCTCCCCAGGAATACTCTCAATGTTTGCCAAACAATACGGAGTAAGATATTCCTGCAAGAAAAAAAAAAGCATCATCAACCTAATGTCCTCATTTGGACACAGTGCAGTAATTACCGTTGTAAAGTAAATCTGAGAACGAAATTGCTGAAACAAAAAGAGCAAAAAGTGTATAAACCCAGCAGTGAGTACTTTACCTCCAAGTTGAGGCCCATTATCTCCTCCTCCAGCTCTTCACACTCTGCATGGAGACTTGCAATAATGTCAGCCTGCTGGTCTTTCACAAATTGTATCTGGTGATTCAAAGATAAAACCATAAGGGGTTTGAATATAAGCTAATAAAACTAGTTTACCTACAGAGAACTGAAGCTACAACAACTGTGCCCATAATGACTTTGGAATTCTCTGACAGAAACATGACTTTTAGATGAGTTTAAACTTGTATGGAAGACATTTAGAGAACTACCATCCTTTTATCCATAAGAAATTCCAATTAAAATTTTATCCAAAAAAAAAAAACATTCTGACTAAACTCTCCTGTTAAAACAGGCTAAAGATGACTTGTATTTCCCACATATTGTCATAATGTCACACACTTTTCGCCCCACTCCCCCCCCCATCTTTCAGCCTATACCAGTAACTTGGAATTGTACTTTAAGAAACAAAGCAGAACTCACAATCAAAACACTCATTTTTAAATCTCAAAAGGGAAGAAATTGTTATTATACAGTACATAAAAGCTTCTATAAATTATTGTCAGTTGGAGAAAAACAAAATGAATAGGAAATTATGAAACGTAGATGGAAGAAAAGATTGTATTTATCTACAGTGTCTAAAAATGCAATCCTGTCGATAGCTGGGAGGTGATAGCAGGGGGGTGTTATGAGAGCATGACAGAGTAGAGTAAAATGGCAGACAAGACAGTGCATTTCAAGCATGTTCTTCCTTTAAAGACCTCTGAATACTCCCTAATCTCACCATTTATCTCTGAAGCCTACAAAAACCTCCCGGGAGTTGTGCGGAATTGATGATTTGAGGACTGAGGGTATCAAACAAAACAAGAGATGTACGAGTAGTGAATACGACGCTGAGTGCACACTGAGATCAGTGTTTGTAGAAGCAGTGAGTGTTGGTGTAATTTCAGCTTGAGGCTGGTGCGGTCCATGCAAAGTGAGAACAGCTTTGGATTTATTGTCAAAGCCGCAGAAGTAAAAGGATAAAACATCACCAAATTATTTTCTTTCTGGGAATGACACCAGTCTCCAATCGCAGTATGATCCTCTCACTTGCCATATATCTGAGTTTCCAAGGTAGAGTTACAGATTACACAGAGAAAAACAACACACAATACACAGTCTCCTCACAGCTTGAACCAGTAACGTTCTTGCGGTAAGACAGGAGCATTAACCGCCCTTCCACCCACATCACCGTCGACATGTTTCTGTGTTTATTTATTAATTTCACAAAGATACCTGTAGTGTAACTGCTTCCCATTCAGGCTGATGTCCGGTGGAATTCTGTACTTCACCCTGTCTGTAGCTCAGGTCATCCTTGAGTTGATAAACAGGCTCAACGGTGGCTATTCTGAACGCCTCCCGTTCTCGTTCAAGGAAAAGCTCTGAGAGAACGCACACATTGGTATCACAGTTATTCATCAGCAGACGATTGTGACAAAATTGGGCTACTGTCCAAGAAAACAGATGATGCTGTTACCATACTCCTGAAGAGAGAAGATGCAAGTGTCTGTGATACTGATGGGTTTGATGTGCTCAAGAAAAAAGTTGACGTCGTTGTCAGCCGTCTCCCTGTTCAAAAGGACATCAGAGAGAGACATATCACAGACATGTGTATTAACAAACTTTTTATACAAACCTTTTATTTGTAAAATTTTACTACAATAATGAATACAGAATAGCAAAGCAAACCCAAAATAGCAGATTTTTTTCAGAGAAGTAAAATGCTTGTAACCTAACAACAAAAGAAAACATGTTCACTATTTGTAGAGGAATCATAGACTGTATATAGAAAATGTGAAAAATAATTTTGGTTTTGTAATAAGAAGGTCCATAATTAGACATTTTCTCTTAGTTTTGAAGCAAATTTAAATAAAAAACACTGCTTATAAACTGGGATAATTTGGCTGCTAGAAAATACATTGCAGTAAAAACTGTCAAATTGGAACTTTGTTGGGAGCAACAACTTTAACTGAGGCAAACCAGACTCCAGGTTGTTGTCTGATGTCTCCTGTGTCATTCAAGATCATTTGACATTTAAGAGCTTCAACTCATAAGATAAATGTGTGTGAAACCATGATATTTAGAGATTGACAGCTACTTCTTATGAACAACCTTTTAGCTCTGCTTTGAGAAAACCTCAAGGACAACTGTTAGTGAAACTGAAAGTTGCTGAAAGTTCAAATTCTGGTAACAAAAGTTGAATATCAAGCACTTATTGTAGCTTTTTTTTTAACAAAACATTCAAACCGAATCAATCGATACAGACTTTATTCTAATTCGGCAATTGTAGCATTGACCAAGTCTATGACATTTATTAATAGAAATTGCTTGCCAACTTTGGTTACGTACATCAATGTGCCTGGTGGACTATATTAAGTTAAGGTATATATTTTTTCCCAAGGTATGTGCGTGGGTTAATGACACACACTATCAGACACGACTAGATTTATTTTCCAAGATAGATAGAAATTACGTATTGTAACCGTGGGCAACACTCGTGACGTCCAGCAAAAAGGCTCTGATTGTGAACAAATAAATAAACAGTAACCATAGAGACATATTTGTCTTTGTTTTCTACTTTTGGGCAATTTAACTAGATGTGTGTGGGGAGAATGAAATAGCAGAAAGTCACCAATGGGCTCATTACTGAGGTTTCCACTTGTGTACATCATTAACCTTGGATGGCTTGGACACAGTCATTATGGAAGCAAACAAGCCTCACCCAAGAGCAGTAGCTGCCTTTCTCACTCCACCAGGCAGAAAACTGACACAGTTTCAGGCCCACACTTAGGCCCCTGCATGCAGAGGACAGTGTTCCTCCATACAGTCTGTTCCCACACAGCTATTACCTCCTCTAATCTCTGTTACACCCTTTCAAAGTCACCCCTCTGAACTGAACTGAATAGACATGCAAAAACTTCCCTGCTACTTTATTTTCTGCCACTTTGTTTTATCACTAAAATCACTTTTATTCCCACCGCTTACACCCGTTAGTCAGTGATAATGTTTTCTCCGCAATATTTAAAATGTCCACAATTCTGTGACTCTGAGCTAAAGAGGCTTTAAATGCAGCAGCAGGGTTTTTGTAACAGCAGATACAGAAGAGTGCAACCGATAATGACAGAGAGTAATGGGGGCTCTTACTCAGCTTTTTGCAGCCTGGGGCACTCTCTGCTCCACACCTGCCTGTGCTGCTGCAAAATTGAACTCTCCTTGGTTGCCTTGGCTGCACAGCGGATTCTTTCGACCTATAAGACAAGGGTTAATGCACAGGAGGAACAAACTGTTTCTTACTACTGAAACATACTGAAAGTTTTTTTTTAAACACCTAACACTAACAATTCAGTGACAATACACTAAATGTGCAGGAACAACACAAAAGCAACAGGAAAGTTTTTTTTAACACCTAACACCAACAATTCAGTGACAATACACTAAATGTCATTTAATTGGGAAATGTGGCATTGCAGAAAAAGGCAGAAATATAATGATAACATAAATTAATAATATAATTTAGACTTAAATATAATTTAAGTTTGGATTAAAAAGGCAAACGGGTCGCATCTGGCTCCTGGGCCGTAGTTTGCCCATGCCTGGTCTAGAGTAATTACAATGTGGCTCACATTGGCACCTGATATTCTTCTGCCTCTACTACCTTCATATATTTGTGAAAGGTTCATAAACTAATTTAATCGACTGCGTCAGCATTGCTAATAAAACATGAATGAAAAATATCAGCAGCGCTTGAAGACTAATTACGTGGAAACATACATGAAATGCACAATGCTTTTTATTAGACCATAGAATATAGAATATACAGTGATAAATGGTCTACTATCATTGTTTTCTTAATCATTAAAGAACAAGCCCCTCTCTTTATGGCCACGCACCAGTTCAGTGGTTGTTATAAGAAGCTGTTATGCACAGGCCATTGACTTCAATAATAGAACTATAGCGATTCTCACTTGACAAATGCAACAGTACAATCTAGTCCATAATAACAGGAAATCGGAAGTTGTTAAGGTCATGATTTGTGTTAAGCCTCTGTTTGTGTGTGTGTGTGTGTATGCACATGTGATAATAATCCTGTTTGAACATTTGCCCTCAGGGTTATATCCATTTTCTAGTTATTAAAAAAATGCAGAACAATATCCAAATGCCCTTTTCACGCTGTTTACTGGGATTTGTTAATTTGCACTGGCAGTTAAAGTACTCAGACAAAAGCACACACTAGGTCAAACACAAGATATGAATTTAACCTCCTGGTTACAAAAATAAAAACTGACAGAAAGAAGGTCGAGCAAACATTTCTCTAAACAGTTTTAAGGTCCATTCTGTAGTTGCAGGTCTTATTCCATAGATATTTTTTCCAACTTTGCAAAAATAATGATCCCATTACAAGGAAAAATAGATGATAAAGCATAACGGAGATGGTGCACATGTACGGACACTGACGCATATGAGATTTAGATTAATTGCATTGATAAATTAACATTCCTAGATATGAAAAAATAAACTTTTCCCTGGAGACATATGTGTTTCAGACCTGTTTTTTAAGACAGAAGTGCTGAAACAGAACTTCCCAAAATAGGTGCAAATTACAACTTATATATTAAGTATATTGACTACAGCTGGGATTCCCAGTGTGCACGCGAGCTGCCACTAGGGGGTGCCCGAGATAAAAATTGTGATGGCGATTTGGAGTGTTTTTTGCATGACGTAAACATTTTCTCTGCAAATTTTAAAATCAAAAGCTGACATTTTAATAAATGCTGTATGTGTGTTTGTATGTGTGCTCTGCTCATTTGAGAATCATTAAACATGCGGGTGGGGAATAGGTGTCAGTTGTGTGTGTCAACCTGGTTGCAACAATAAGTGACTGTACAGTGAAATAATTGGTTATTGATTCCATGTGTGCATCATTCTGACCATGCATTGAAATGCATTAAAATTTTCAATCTTCTTTTAACAAACTATTTAATGCAACTGACATGTTAAATTCAACACACTCATTAATTCTATTTTATCTGTACTAAATGCCAATTACTTAATTCTGATGAAGTGCAAGTGGTAACTTTCAGTGTATACATCCCCAACCTGCTTCCAACTCCAGGATGAACTGGCATATTTTTGATATTTAAGCATCTACGAAAGCCTCCACTCGCTTTATGAGGAGCTAAAATGATCCCATGCTTCAGGCAACTCACGGTCATTTATTTTTCCTGTATCACATCACCAGTGGGAGATGCTCAGAAAGCTTGCCTTTCAGCAGGGTGACTGAATGTAAACAGCCTGTCTTATCTAGGTTATGCAGAGAGCATGGATGTGAGCAGCCATGGGCAACCACAATGATACTAAAAGGCTCCTGCGACAGCGCACCAATTAAAACACCACAGGTCTTACAGCCTGAACTCCATTGCCTCTGATATTAACTTTTTTGCTTTCCTCAGACTCCGATGCCTATGAACTTCAAACAGTTTATTAGAAAACCAAGAGCAGCAGAATGAATATTCATGAGCCCTACTCACTGCTGTGTTTCATGTTGCTGAACAGACTATAAAGGTTGTACAATGGCTGTTTTGTATATATAAAAAAAGCTGTTCACGCTGTGTTGTGTATAGAAATAATTAAACACACACAGAAAGGAAGGCTGCTGTTTGCTATTATGGAAGCAACAATATAATCAGATTTTATGGCAGTTCCCATTATTTCTGCAGTTTCTTGAACTTGCAAGCATTTGCCTTGCACTCAACCTTAACTTTACGACAATTTATAAATTCTTAAATGAAGAATTTTAGAATTCTTTTATGGAATAAAAGTATACATTAAACATTTAAAAAATGTTTAAAAGTTGTACTGAATATCTAACTATTCATCATCATCTTTTAGCCATAGGTAACTTCATACTTATTTTCTTCTTAGAGAGGAAGATTGTTGACTAAGTGTTTTAAACCAATGACATGAACCCTAACCCTGATGTTACATGGTTACAAAGCAGCAGATATCAATGTTATAATGCCATGATATTGACATCAACAAAAACTTTACCTTTTGTCCAATTAGATCAGATTCCAACCACTTGGCGTCAACAACGGCTTGAAGTCTCCTATAGTCGGCTGGTTTGTACTTTGAGCTGCTGAGACCATTTTTTATTCTCAGTGCCATTTTTTCTGCATGGGTGAAAGCAAATGTGACTGAATTAACATCGTCAGAATTGTTGAGAGTTCCATCATTGTTGTCGTCTGAAGACAGCTCTTTATTGCTGACTTCAGCAAAGAATAAAATGGAGGGGAAAAAACAGAAGAACAGCAGCAGCTGACTACTAATGGATTGTGTGGATAATTTGAAGAGGGGCATTGTGGAGTTGGAGGGTAAGAGGGGGTGTAGGAGAGTAGAATGCAGCCAAACTGAGTCAGGCCTTTTTTGGGAGTAGTTCAGCTGTGACTCAGAGAAACAGGTGAATAAACATAAGCACTGTCGCTTCAGACTAAAGCATATGCGTCTTGACAGCACCTGGTAAATTCACCAAAAGGATTTTAGATCAAATCTGTTCACCAGAGCAGAGGCCAACTACAGCTACAGAGATTATAAAAGACTAATTAATCAATCAGGCACAATATGATTCAGTAATTGCATTGTTGCTAATCTAGCTCTAAAGATTTCAAATAAAAATATTTTAATTGCTCATGATCTACCAGTACTGCCTTTGCAAACTTTAAGCACCTCAATCTACCTTATACTGTAGATCGACTTCTTAAATGGGAATGTGTTTTTTCTTTCAAGGTTTTTCTTTTGCCTTCCTTCCACCTCTACACTGCATTGTATGAGCTGTCATATTCAGTACATGGTCTTTGCTTGTAATTAGTGCCTACATTCACTCACACCGTGCCTACCTTAATTGTTCATATTTTTTAATCAAGCAAATGTGGGGATAAAAAATGACTGATTAGTAATTTTACTATTTTTAACATAATATTCAGATGAGCTTTTAAGCATTAGCTGTGAATGTGCTGACGTGCCCTGTCAACAATAATGGGCTGCTGCAGAAAAAGTTTGGGAAGCACTGCTTTATGGCCACCAAATTGCTTGGGCCTTTATGATTGTTCTTCCCTAAATCCCTAATGACTGTGAATCCCTAATGACTGTAAATGACTCACCCACATCATCTGCCCTGTATTTGGAGATGAAGGACTGCAGGTCTCGTGCACTCTTCATTGTGAAACACCATTAAGCCCTGCCTGCAGAATAGAGAAAATGTGAAAAATTCAAACTCATTTGTGTAACACCTCCTAAAATTCAAAGAGCCCTGTGATATCTGGGTGCATGAAGGGCAGAATTGACGAACCTATGACACCTTACAGTTCTCAGATGGCACTATGCTAAAGCTGTATGCTGCAGTCCAGATATGTCTTCTATTAAAATGTAGTTTGTTTTACACAACATAATTAGTTTCAAGTTTTTTCAATCAAGTATTTTTTAAGTGGAACTGTGTTTTGCAAATGGTAGAGAAAAAAACATTTAACATAGTTACAGAAAGAGAAGTAATTGCCATCAAAAACCTAACTGTGCCAGATCAGTTTTCAGTGACTTTGCTAAATTAAGTCTTGCATGTGTTTTTAGGATTTGGGCAGAGAACAGATGGCAATAAGATATGTAGCTGTAGAATCTCTGTGTTTTTGTTTTGGTTCAATGGTTAGCGAATAAATCCGACAATAAACACGTGTGTCCTGTCAGTGAGGAGCGTGAAGGAATTTGTATAATCTTCACCAAAATGAAAAACTGGTGCTTTGTTCTTAATGTGAAGGAATTTATATAATCTTCACCGAAATGAAAAACTAAAATGTATATAATCTTCACCGAAATGAAAAACTGGTGCTTTGTTCTTAAGCCACCGATGAGGGTTTTTCTCCATTCAAACCATAAAACCCCTTTTTCTTTAGAGACAGATATGTGTGTACAAACCCCCCAATGTTAAACTTTGAAGAAGAAACAAGGTAGGGTTAGGTTTAGCGGAATAAGCTCAGTTGAGCAGCCACCTATAAATTGCGTTTATATCCCACCAGCAGAGGATAGAGGGTTTTATGTATATAAACAGTGGGCCAATAAGGTTGCATACCTTTTCTTTATGGTGCTTTTCACTTGTACTATTTCAAGTCATTACCCTGGATCATGGCCCAGCAATTCCAATAGGAGAGCCTCTCTGGTACTGACTGTGGTTATGTTTATAACCTTTATTATTCAGAAATTGTCTGTATCTTTATGAATTTTAAGCAATTTATGCATGTCTGTCGTAAAATAAAAAGTTACACTATGTAAATCTTGTCTGTTTAGTATTTGAAGAGAATAAAGTTATAAAGTTATATTACGAAAAAAGTGTACATTAAAAAGGATACAATGATGAATAATGAATATATGAAATGTAAAAAAATGTAAATGTGTGAGTGTAATGTAATAAATCATAAAGTTAAATCTTACAGTTTTGCGTTTTTAATTCTCAAGTAGTGCGACTTTATTAGCATAAACTTTCGCTTTATTCTCGTGAACAGTGTTTTCTCGAAACATTACGACTTTATTTTACATACATTTATGAATCACAATAATACTACTTTAGTGTTGTAATTTAAGTGTTTTTCTCGGTGTGGACCTAAAACTCCGTCGTTAAATACAGTTAACTTTTCTTTAAAGAAAGAATAATGCAATAACCTTTTGCTACATGTACATAAAAAGGAAATATTTTACTTTCAGCTTACCTCGATGCGTTCTTCTCTGTATACCTTCTATTCATTTGATGTCCGCGACAAGCGTTGATTTGCTGTCTTCTTTAGACTGTTGATGACGTCACGTCCTTAGTGACTATGAAGTTCGAAAGTTCTATACAGTGGAATTTTCTAATTCTTCTTAGTGTTTCGCGGCACTCGTCTCTGCATGGTGTGTATAGGTTGGACAAATTTGTAACCAAGGTAACTGTCACCCATTCTGTCATTGGTTAATTCAACAATCCGAACCTCAATAGCCACGCCCAGATCTTTTGTCCGGGCCAATCAGGAGTATTCACTGCTTTTCCACATTCCCGTTGACGTCATGCTCACTTGCATAGTCTGGGACTTTGCTGGTGGAGGCTGGGAGCAGCGGAGTGCTCTCTGTCCTTCCCCTACTCCTCCTTCTTCTCCTTCCCTTCCTAAGCCATGGAGGCGAGTTTTACTCCTCCACATGCCCGGGACTTAGCGATGGGACTTTACCGATGAAGTTACACGTTCACGGAGGCCCCAGTGCAGCCCCTGTTTCACCAGTCTTCTAAGGTATTTAACTGTTTTTTTCTTTCCACTAAACTGCAGAGTAGCTGGGAAGGAGGAGGGAAACGGAGAGGTAAAATGAACCGACCAGTCTTAGCACACACAGAGGAGTGTTTATACGCTGCTACTTTAGCTCACAAGTTTTAAAAAGTGTTTTTATGTATAATCTCTTTCTGTAGAGCAAAAGAAAAACCTAATTTTACGCCAATCCGGCTCTTGTGTCCGCACTCCTCTGAGGCACGTTTACGCACAGTCCTCTATAACCTGGGTCTTGGTGAAAACGCGTAGAATTTTGCTGTTTTTTTTCTAATTATCACTCAAAACAATAAATAATTTACACCAAGAAAATCAAATCTATTTAAAAAAGTCTATTTCTGCTAAGTTATGAAAGAAAACGCAGGTGACCTTAGCGAGTGTGGGAATCTCTGGAATGCGGTGGATGTCGCCGTGATCCCCTCACTCTCTGCCCGCAAGATAAACTTACCTTTACGCCCACGTTTACTCGCTACTCCCTCACTACGCCATGTTTAATTACCCTAATCTGAACTGAGTGACATTGCTTTGCATTTAGCAGGAACATCGTACTCCTTTGATGGGAGATACAATCAGGTAAACCGCCCCGAGGTCTGTGGACGTTATGGCAGGACCGACTCACCAAATGCTTTTGAACGCAACATTTAGTCCGTGTTGAGAGAGTAGTCAGATTTTGTCCTTTGGTGTTAGTGATAATTGATCGCACAATGATTCTAAACATTAGACATTACTAAAGGGTAATAATAAGATTAAAGAAGGTTGTAGTGGAAAAACATGTGTGTACACCACTGCACGTCAACACTTGAAGAAGATGTACCTGTTTTGTTTCAATTGACGGCATTTATATTATATAGTGTTAACTGTTTCAACAGTTGGTGAAATGGATACAAATCTTGAATACAAAGTCTTTCATGGCACTTTCTTTTCATATGTTGCATTACTATGGCACCTGGGCCGGCACTCAACATTTTGTGGTAACCATGTCCTTTTATGAAGTCTTCTAAAAAGGGAATATACAGAATAAATTATATGAGGGCAGTCTAGCGATGTGTCTATTATAATGTTGTACGTTTTTGTAAGTGTGGTCCTCTTTCAATGTTTCCATTTTTGCATCCAGATGGATTTAACCATTTTTTCCATTCAGTCAATGTTTAAAAAACCATCAGCTGATGTGAAGGACAGGTCAGAAAAATGAGAAATGATGTAACTTTAAATGCCAAAACTACTTTAAAAACCCAACACATTTGAATTAATACCAGTATCGTTAGTGAACATCCATGTCCGTGCTAGTGTATCAGGAAAAAGTAAATCTAATTTCCCCTTTAATTTGAATTCCTTCATGTCATGCTGCACGCCACCAGGATTTAGGAAGCACTCATTCATTTTGTTATGAATAATTATTTACCAAAGGTCAAGTCACAGTCTTGACGCATGATAGGTGCAGTTTCCATGAGGATGTGAGTTGGTTTTCTGCTGTCTTTGCTGGTGAGACTGTATTTCAAGCTAATTATGCTGGGTCCAATTATTGGGATTTGCATATGGTAAACAAGACCTGTAAGTGAACTCACCCTCTCCCAGTCAGACACAAAAAACACTCACACACACCCAAGAGGAAACTCTGGGTTACTTTCCTCGTGACTCACATTACTGTACAACACAAACAGCCGCACAGCTGCCTGCCATTGAGGCTGGTTTATGTTGGAACTGATACAACGTTGAAATGTTGGCTTTTAAGACTCAGACTCCTGTGTTTTATGTCTTTCTTTAAGTATTTCCTTATTGCACTTAAAGGAGTGAGACCCTTGGGCACAAAGAGAGTAATTTAGCAGGTCAGCCCAACCAGTTGTTGCTTTAATTTGTCCTGCTCATTGGGGTTTTTCACCCTTGCTGAACAAGGCAGCGATGCATGTTTGTATATAGATTGTGCAGGTGATACAGTGTGGGTTTGCATAAAGAACAAGCTCTGCAGCCGTAGACAAAAGCACATCTAAAACATCCTTGGAAAAAAAATGCTATTTCCTTGCTAGTGTGATTGTTTGACCCAGTCTTCACAGTGAGTTCCTTTAAATGGGAACTGACAACAGTTGAATGGTGTAGCGCCTTTGATGGGATTTTCTTACTTGAAGTATTTTTACTCCCCAATTCTGGCCCTAACATCAAGACCTAAGCTCCCCGCCTCATGTTACTTGTCAGATTTCCGGCACTGTTCAAACAGAATAGCCCAAGTTGTCTTTTAAAAAATGGAACAAACTTCCCGTGGATGTCTCATAGCTTTGTTTTGTTATTGTTACTGTATATATAAGTAAAATGCTGAGGGATCAGCTACTGTCAGAACGTCAGGATGTCAACGTCAATTCTGAAACCACACACATACAGTTATACACACACAGTTATACACACAGTTATTAACATATATCAAATTAACGCATTAATTACATTAATGAATTTATCAAACTAATCAGATTAATAATGCATTTAATTATTGACTTAATGTTGCGAACTGTATCTAAATATTTCCACCTTCTGTTCACGGCACAGTTCTAACACGCAGTCACATCTCTTTTGTCTGTTTATCCAGTGAAACTGGATAAACAGTATACTCTCTTGCATACCCTCAGGGGGAACCCAGTACCACCAGTTACCGTCCATAGCTTGAGAATTGCTGTTTTAAAAGATAGTCATTACACATACGTATGTGTTTGTTTTAAAGATATCTTGGTTACTATGGTGTGTGGGATGGTATAAATAGTGCAGTGTAGAACTCAACAAGAAAAAAAAAAGTATTTATCCTTCACAGCAATTTCTTTTCATTAAATTCACCCCACATTGCATGTTTCAACCCCTCATGTACATGGTGTGGTCTAAACCAATCTTATCCTACTCTTTTTCCTCCCTGGACTACAAACCACATGCAATAGTTCAGGGAGTTTCCATTATGAACTTTATATCTGTCTTTGTTACAGATTCCTGAAGACTTTCGGGGAAAATCCAAGATCAGATAACAAAAGATATTTCATAAAACATCTTTGACTAGAAAGATGTTGAGTGATTTCTAAAGCTGAATTTTAGTCTGCTGCATGTGTCTGGATCTGAATCCAGCTGTATGCCTCCAGGCAAGCCACTTGACTCTGCGTTCTAACCACATGCTATTCAAAAAAATTGTGCTGTGCCCATCATGTGTCGTGCACTGCGGGTTTGTCTTGTTGCAATTTCGTGTCTGCTGCTTGGTTTCTTTTTAATAAACGAGCGAGGGAATGGAAGGATATGTCATGTACTTACCAGGAGTCTAACCTTCTCCCATGCCCTCTCCTCCTCGTTCCCAGGAAATCCCTGTGGAACAGGGTACGTAATATGAACTTGGTCCATCATAAAAAATGTCCATTTTTTTTATTAGCTTGACTCAAAATCAGCAGGACTTGATACATAAATTACTTCAGAACCCAGTCCCAAAACCGATTATTGTTTGTTTGTGCTAATTTATGAACAATTAGTTGCCCTGTCAAATATGTCAGCGTGCGTAGAAGATGAAAGGGGGAAGAAAGAGAGCGTGCCTTGTTCTGTTTAAATAAACAAACAACTGTCAACTTTAAATATATGACCTAATAAACCAGCCACAGTTGTTACGCACAGCTGTTTGGGTAAATGTAAACATATACTTAAAAAACAACCAACTAGCTGCTAGCTCAAGAGCAACTTAACTTTTGTGCAGATACAGAGGCATGACTTACCTGCAGTAAAACAGCATGGACTCTTTTCATTCTTCTTTTACTGATTGGCCAAGAGAAAATCGTTGGTCATGCTTTTATCTGTGCCCTCTGCTGGATGACTTTTTTAGAACACGTGGTCTGTACAAGTTTATGCTCCCACACTCCAAATATCATATTTGAGGTGTAGCTGAGTCTTAACAGGGTATGTAGAATTTTTTCCTGAATGGGCTCCAGATCCCATACCATGGCTAGAAACAAAATCTGCCAGTGGTTTGGAGAGTGAGTGCACAATAGATTTTGTTCAGCAAGCTTGACACGCTGAGTAAGAAAAAATGGCCCCTCACCATTGGAGGGGATAGAACCTTTCCACTGTCTTTTCCTCCACATGTTTACTTCTACTACCAAACAAACCCTGGTTTCTTGCAGACTCAATCCTATAACATTTTACCAGTGTCTGGCTGAAAAATTGTCTCAATGCAGCACATTATTATTTATTGTTGAATATTTCAGAACGGCTCATATTATCACCCCAGGCTGTGGCTCCTTCCCCTACTAATGGTAATAGGAGTGGTACAGTCCATACAAGTGGAGCACATGGCATTATAGATGAGCGCCTATGAAAACAGTTGCTCTACAGCCAAATAAACTTGTCACAACCTGGAAAGACAATGCTGCAAAGGGGAATTTGTTTAAGCTTTTTTCCAGCTAAGTTTACTGTCAATCTATTATTAAAGGCTAATGGATAATCTTCAACAGGAAGTTTGTAGGGGTTTTACTTTTTTTAAATAAAAAATACGAGATTTATTTGAATACCCTAATGATTAACCATCTAATGTTCTTGTTTTTTTCAAAAAAATTCACAAGGTTTAAAATCCTGTTAAAATGAAATATAGACTATGTCAACGCTTGACAAAGATAGAATGAGATAAATATTCAAAGCTTGTTTTAAAATTTGTCACACACATATATTTTCAAAAGCTTATATGGAGTCCCAAAATGTTTGTTGTCTGCCGAATGAAGGACTATCTTTTTTTTTTAAATCGTAAATGTAATCTGATTGGTCAATAGACTCAAAACTTAATCTACTAATTGACTTGGTGAACCACCTCCAAACTTGCTAGTGTTCCTTTCTTTTTTAAATTCTCGAATGTCTTGTTTGTGAGATCGGGTGTCGTCACACATTGGTATGTGGTTGCCTTGGTGCCTGTATTTAGCCAGTAGGTGAAGGTTACATTCTAGTGAACGCCAGCGTGTGCCCTGTTACCAGACTATAACTCAAACCATAAAAGATATGTGTGATTTGTCTGCCTCATCTGTTTCCATAAAAGTCTGCCAAGCAGCAGAAGATTCACTTCTTAAATGTCAAGGCACTTAAAAAGCCTAAGCCTAGTGAAATAACCCCTGAAATGGGATGAAGTTGACATTGGAAATGTACAATCTCAGTTCAAAAATGTGGCATTTGGAATGGCATTCTATAGATCCTAAGCTCCAGGTTTGGTTTGGAAGTTTTAGAGTGTGTGTGGGCTGCACCATCAAAGCTTTTAATGTATATTTTCGTTTTACTCTTAAGACAGAGTTAATACATCTACAGCATCAAAGCTGACAAGTCTGTATCCTCAGGCCGCCGGTGCTTGGATTGTTACATCTTAGAAAAATGAGATTCGACTGAAAGAAGTTATCTTTCTTGTGATTTTTGTCTCACTGAGCCTAGATTGAGTATCTATTTAAAAATCCCAGTGTGCTGCCCTCTGGAGGTGGCCCTCCCATTAAGTCATTAATAATACATAATAATGTTTTAGGCAAACATTAATTCTCATGTGCAAAGTGCATCGCTTTAGAACATGAAAACCTAATTTCAGACGCAGTAGTTTTGTGTACGTATGTATGTACCTATGTATGTATGTATGTATGTGATGCATTTGGTAAGTGAAGAACATGACAGCACTGGTGCCTGTCGTCTGTAGCACCCAGCAGGGGAGGAACTGTTTTCAACAGGGTTCTTCTTGCTCTTGTGAAACATGTAGGATATATTTTTTGGCTTTCCATGAGCTATAATTAGGCTTAACTTTAGTAACATCAAAGTTTGAGTTTTGATTTGGCTATTTATTCTCATTGTCTAGTTTTTGGTAGTTTTTGTTTTTTTGTTTTTTTATGGCTAATTATGTTAATTCTGTCCACTCTGTAAACATTGCCAGTGTTAAATCTCAACCTATTTTGACTGTTTTTATTTTTAAGAAAAAAGTTTAATTAGCCATCTTAAATTTCCTTTTATTTCTATCTTTTAATTTAAGTTGTCTTTTTGCTTTTTTCTTTGACACTTTTTTTTCTTTCTTTTCCTACCAACCTTTATCTTTGTTGTCTAACACTTTAGCTCCTGCTTATTTCTCTTTTATATTTCTGATTATCTCACTTACAAAAAGAACATCCTAAAACAACATGCTGTATGTTGTATCTGCCTTGGGATTTGTGTGAAGCAGTTTACAGTGACCGATGTTTCAACTTTTGTGAGTCTCTGTGAGGAGAAAGTTGTGTGAGTTTTTGATCAACTGTGTCAGTGGCGTAAAGCCCAGATACAGTAAATGCAATATGTATTCACGTGTACAAAGCTATTGTTCCAAAAGGCCAGCTGGTGGTGCTTGGCTGACCTGACATTTAGCATAAGTACTTTTCACTTTATGTAACTAATTTAATTCCCTCTCAGTTTCTGCGTCATGGTTCTCCACCGACTGAGCTATCTGGGCTCTGCTTGAGGTGCTCTTTTAGGAGTCAAACAGAGTTGAGCTGTGTGGCTGCTGAGCTGCTTGGTCAAATGGGGAGTGATCACAATAGAATACGGAAGAAACACAACGAAAAACCTATTCATTTCATGCAATTAAAATTAATTTGTACTTTGTTTTTTAAGGACACGTGTGCATGTTAAACTCTAAAAATAAAGAACATACAGAGTAAATGAAACTATTCATTCTTAGGAAAACAGACTATGAAAAGGTGTAATCATTTCCATGAACAATAATACTACACACCTTCATGGAGTCACAAGCATCATTGCACTGTTTTTATGGTCATAAAGTATATGAATAACACAGTCTTTCTCAATCTCTTAATCAATGTCAGCGAGACCAGAGCATGTGTGTGTGAAGCTGTGAGCGTGAGTTGAATCTAATAAAAATGATTAATTTATCCTCCATTTCCTGTCTTCCTTTCGATTATTCTGGGTCAGTGTGCCGCACACATTGCCCAACGTGGTAAAGATTGTGTTACACAATGGCAGTTTTTCACACGACCTTAAATTATTTAGCACACACATCAATAATATATCAGTAAATATATCATATATATAATGAATATATATCAATAAACATGAACAAATTGTTGTAACTAATCTAAACGTTTATTCATTCATCGCACAATGCGCATCCAGTTGCAGACTTTGCAATTAACTAATTTCCGTCCATAACGTGGTAATTATAATTGCTAAAACAATCAGTGGTTCGGCCCGAGAAATTAAATTAAAATTATTATTAACCAAGCTGTAGCTTTGACTGTGTTCTGATTATTAGAAGTCGTTCACTGCAAATCAGCAATCAAGAAGTTCATATCTGGAAATCTCTATGTGCCTCGTTATCTTTGACTTTTTTCCATTTGACCGGAACAAGGGTTTTTTTTTCTTCCTCAGACTGGTCACATAATTTCACAAATTTGTTCTTATTTTCTGCTTGCTCTTTTCTCTTTGCTTCAGTTCACTGAAAAAAATCAAGATTGAACGTAAGAATCTTCAGCCATACTGTATGTAAAAGGAGAAACGCATTCTGTTTGTCTTAAAGCAGGAAACCTTATTTTCAGAAGATTTCCATAAAATTACACTTGTCACTTTTGTCAAAGAAAACTTTTTATATCAGCCATAATGGATTTGAAATAGGCCTGTTTCACTTCTTTTCATTTTTTCAAAATTAATCTAGTTAATGTATTTATCACAATATTATTTCAAGATGTGATGGTAACAGGGACTTTTAGTTAAAAAATTTCTACTGCTTCATTTCTGCATTAATCATGTGCACCAACTCCCTTCCTTCTTTGTTTTGTTTTCATTTACAGTCAAGTTTAATCTTTTTCTGCATTTAGTTTCACTTCTGTTTTTATCATTAACAAAGTGAGGTAATGGAATTTCTCCTGCAGTTCTTCCCTTCAGTCCTTAGTGGTTTGTGTTTCGTGTGATGGTAACTGTTTAGATTTATTCGAAAGATATTACCTTTTTATATAAAAAGACTACTTAATAAAAAAAAAATCTAAGTATTATTTCATTTTTTTTCCTTCGTATGGTCCGATATCAGTTCATAGCCCGGTGGTTGGGCACCTCTGCTCCATGCACTTACTAACAATTGACATGCAGCAACACATCAGTGACTATTTGTGTTTTGTATCTGGTTCTTTCACATTCCTTGCTCTCTCTATTTTATATCTGTGTATTTACAGTAAATTATCCTGTTCATGCTTCATTCCTGGAAAGAAGAAGTTGAAGGTTTAATATTTACATTCAATATTATTCATGGGTTTTAGTAAGAGCACCAATTGGTTTCAGATTTATTTATTGTGCCATTTTCCTGTCATTACTTATTGAAATGAACATGCTGTATTGACAGCCATTTTAGACCAACCTGTACAAAAACTAACCTGCTAATGGTCAAAACCACTAACTCATAAATCCTTTCCCATTTTCTATCATTTGTAAATGTCATATACTCCACGACCAATTCATCACAATAAACCTGCTGCCATTTTAATGGAATAATGCTCTACAGATGTGAATTTTTAAACTGCTGTAATGAGTCCAACTGAAACAACATCAGTTATAATTCTCTGACAGACATTTGTAACATTAAGCTTGGTGCTAATTGTTCTTCTGCCGATCTTTCTAACCTCTCTCTAAGAAATTGAACATAGTGACTTAATAAAAACCTGATAGGTGAAGCAGTGAGAGAAGGCTCAACGCAGCAAATGAGGCGAGGAGTGGTGATAAGTCTGGCAGCATTGGTTAAAGCGTTTTAGGGTGGAATGTGAAATAAGGCTAGATAATTAACATCCTTAGGCTTAATCAAACCAACTGATTGTATAAGATAAGCCCAGTAAATGAAATCTGCTGTCGCCAGTGTCCTTCCCAGTGAAGGTGGTGATGGTTCATTCATCTTCTACCTCTTAACAGCTTTTCGTAGGAAGGCTGCTGAGAACCAGTCCTAGCTGTCAGCAGATACAATGTGGACCGTTCATTGGGCTCTGTATCGGTATCACCTGATACTTCATTCAAATACTGGGAAAAACTGCAACCAGGTGTGGTGGTGTAATTTTGCACTTTTTTAGTGTTTATACTGCTCAATGTAAGACATTATCATTATCACGTCAACGAGTTTGCTTATAAAACAGTTCTGTCCCAACAATAACAGCTCTGCTTGACTTAAGGTACCCTGGTGAGGAAGTGATTCTGAGAGTGATTGATAACTATTTGATGTTGTTCTAGGGAAGTTGGTCTGGTGTTTGTATTGCCACACATTGCAAACAAGGATTATTTGCTCTCTGTCCCTCTTCCCTATGCCCTTTAAGCAAACATTTCCGATGAGATGAAGGGCATCTTAGAGAGTAGGTAGCAGATCTGTGGGTAGATCCATCAAATGACTGCATTTCCTGCCCGTGCGCAAAGCCAAGCCCTGCCCAGTGGACACACATGCCGAGATAGGCCTCAGGTTACTGCTTTATTAGTCAATGTAGGAGTGGAGGTGTGAGGTGGGTATGGGTGCAGCAAGGGATTTCCTTTGCTTCCTCTGTGGCTGAGAAGGTGGGGTGGATGCTGCTGGACTGTTGTCTCCATTAACCATTCATGATCACATACATGTCAGCCAGTTAAACAGCGGAACAACCGGTGGACAGGTATGTGTCTGTTTAAGGTAGAGCACATAATTCTCTGCTTATTTAGGCTAATGATTGACAGAGCGATTGGTGTGTGTTGAGAGAGACCGAGAGGGGAAGAGTGTGTTAAAGAGAGAGACTGTTTTTGCTCTAGAATGGAGACATTCCTTTGCTGTTGGGTGTGTCAATATGAGAAAAGCATTTTCAGCTGTTGAGAGCAGCAGAAAGTCAAACATCCAGGGAACCAAGAATAACTTTTTTGTGTTTTGCTGATGGTCATTCCAGCATGTGGGAGATTTACTGAGACGGTTCTGTCCTCTTTCAGGAACTCGCCCACGTGTTTCAACTACAAACAGTATGTCGCTCCTCACACCGTCTGAGGTTCAAGGTTAATCAGTGACATGCTGTATCAAGACGACCCATGGTTTACAGGACACCTTTTAACCATGTGCTCACAGTGTAGTATAGGATTTGGCCATATAGTAAGACATGTAACTTTTTATAAAATATTGTTGCCATAGTGACGGTTTAAAATTATACTATGACCTCTTTTTATTTATTTTAATTTTACTTCTTGTTCCCTACAACACACAGAGCTTTGAGATGATACATCATTGTGTTCACACATGCTCCCACTTCATTGAAACTAGAAAGAAAAAATCAAATTAGCCAGAGCTAAATGTTAATTTATCTTAGCCAAAATTCTAAGAAAAAAAAACTGTTAAATACCATTTTATTTCAAATTAAAACTATTACCAGAAGTATGCAAAATTACTAACAGATAGCCAAAAGCTAAGCCACACATATAGCCAAAAGTAAGCTAAGTAATTGCTTAGATGACTACCAGAATATGTATGTTAGTTAGTCTGAAACCTTAACCTCAGCAAAACTAAATTCAGAGTGTTATCTTTAGTTAGTCTGCAACCTTAATCTCAGCAAAACTAAATTCAGAGTGTTATTTAAAAGGTCTCCCATTTGATTTAAAGAATCTTGGCAGCACCTAGCTGAAGGTATTTTCCAACATTTGCTAAAATTGCCCTGGGAAAGATCCAAATGCCCCAAAAACCAATTTCACAGGGGCAGAAACCCCCTATTAAAAAGGGAAAATGATTTACTCTTGTGTTTTTTATTACAGGTTTTTTGTTTCTGTTTGATATTTCAAGCACATTTGAGAAACCCTGAATTATTTTCATTTTAGCCAAAACTCTGGTCACAAGGGGTTAATACTTTCACTTTTACTTTTTATATAGTTGGATGGTTGGTGTCTTAGGAATAGATAAAAGTAAGACTTAGCAGATCTCTCTTTATAAAAACACTATAAAATATATTTGTGATAGTTTGTCTTGGCAGGATGTGGGATGGCAGGATGCTAAATATAATAAGTTGTAGGACTTTTCTTTAAAACATAGTTCAGGCTCACAAATAGAATATAAACCTTAGAAAATTGAATGTCTTATAAACACTGGGTCTTTGAAACAAGGACAATATCTGTGGTCGGCTGATGTCAGTTAAGCTCAAGGTCGAAAGTGAGGCATCGTACCCGAGTTCGCGCTTGTCTGGTGCGGGTTGATTAAAACTGCTGAAAATTGTTGCTCCCATGTCACCTTTTTGCTGTCTGATTTTTGCAGTAATTTCACTGAATCAACAAAGGCACATTGAATAACCAAGTTAAACTAAACAGATTTTTTTTGTGTACGTTTCTTTTCCTGCGCAAGTATTTGATAAAGAGTAGACGAATCACAGAGAAGTATGGAGTGTGACAGCAGCAGCGTGGCATGTGGATGAATAACCAAGGCTCTTAACTGTAGTAGAATTAATTGGATCATATCAGAAAATAGAACAAATTATGTTCAATTCAGTTAACCGATTATGTACAGCTGATATTTTGAATAGAAGTCTTTAAGAAAAACAGTGTCGTTCTTTTGGCTTGATAATAAAATCACTCAAATGCAGAATACAGTCAGTGTTGAATACAGTAGGCCCTGTGAGAAATGGGCTCACTAATTGACTGCGTGTTAACACAGACAGAAAAAAAATCATGTCATTCAGGAGCATGACCGTTCCAATTTCCTGCCTTAACTCAATTTCTCCCAGTAACGTGGTTTGTACTGTGTAGGTAAACACTGCCTCTGTGACAGTTGGTGTCAGATGCGCTGCAGCTGGTTTGAGACGATAACATGAGTCTGTCCGTGGAAAATATGCGGAAAGTCGCGTGTTTAAAAATCTGACTTCACTTTCTTTGGCGTCTTCCGTTCTTTCCACTCACCAACAGAGGGTTTGTATTAGGAGCACCAAGGTGTGGGTGGAGTCTGAGGTCAGTGGATCACTATGTCAGGGTGGGGTTACATTCACATTCAGACTTTTCTTTGCAGACTTGGATTATAATACTCTGAAGATGTTAAGACGTAGTGTATAGCAAGGTAGATTGTTTTTTATCATGTACTATATAGCTAGTCAAACAGGTCACTGTAGGAACTGCAGTTTGAAACCTCCTACTTATGTTTCCACACTTGTTGTCTTGTTTTGTCTACTGTGTGTTTTTCTTGTGAAAAATAGAAATATAACCACTATGGTAATAGTCAGACCCTGGCGTGTTGCTGTTTATTCCAGACCAGAATGAGGTCATCTTTACTCTGCTGAAACTGTTTAGAATGGTCTTTAGGCATTAGAGTAATAACAGCCTTAAAACCTGCACAGTTTTGGCCTCGCCTCCTGTGTTTCTCACCTAGTTCTCAGCCCTGTGTTTGCTCCTCAAACTCCTCTGAAGTTTTTAAGTGCCAGAGACTTCAGTTAGGCTTTTCCTTTGTCAGACTTTAGTTAGAAACATGTTGAAGAACCAGTCAGCCATGTGCTCATAGGACTGCGGTAGGTTGGCAGCAGCGTTGTTGTCTTCACTCCTGTCTTGAACGCCGCAGAGAGCAAATCAGAGTGAAATCATTCTTGGCCTGAAATTTCAGGGGAAAATTCCAAGGTAGGCTCTGATACACGTCGTGGCTTTTCTTGGCTCAGTGGTATCTTTGATAGACTTTACTTTCCGATTTACTGTATAAGTTGTTTTTTTCCTGTAGCTCAGGTTTCTACAGTCTGCTTAGTCTGCAGTAAACAGGGAAGTCAAAACTAAACTTAAAACTTAAATCTATTCATTCTTACCGATTATACATACAGATGCTGCTAATAGAATAGATTTATCTTTAAAACGCATTTTAGTTTTGTTTTGTAATTTTCAACTACAGAAAATGTAGATCACAGACAGTAAAGTTCAGCTCAAAGCCATGCATGATCTTCCTGGGAGATTCACAGAATAATTATATAAACCGTGTGTAGCTGACATTGCCAACAGTTTATTTTTGTGGGAAAGCCCTGAGAGAAAAGTTGTTTCATCCACCCCAACCGGGTTGGCAACTTCAGACAGTTTTAAGAATTTTGTGCTCAGTTGCTCCTGTCTGTGTTGTTCTTTTCTGTGTTTGTCAGTCAGAAAAAGGAGGAGGACGAGTAGGAGGAGTTTGGACAAATTCAAACAGCTTCCTCCCGCTGTGTCTTTCTGAGAATACAGAGCCATGTCCTTGATTCAGAGGCTGCTGTGGAGGTGGGAGGGAGAGAACTCTGCGAGTCACAACACTGTGAATGAACAGGAACTGACAAGGGGATACACCACACATCCAGTGTGGACTCACATACAAGGTTGTAGTAGACACTTATCTGTCATTTAACACTGGTGCTGGCACAAGGCTCAGACCATTTAAAATGCTCATGTTGCCCTGATGACAGACTCCCAGGATATCTCAGTGTCACATTTTGTTCAAATATCTGCGAGGGACCTCCCACATGATTCTGGGACCACGCTCTCCACCAACTACACTCCAAAGTGACCCTCTTTTACCACACACAGCTCCAAATTGGACCTTTATGATCTGGCTGTAAAAGTTACGCTGACACACACACACACAGACACATACTGGCTGCCCTGAATAAATCACTGCAGTCACTCTTGTGCGGTAGGTTAATTTACATAACAATATACAATTCTGTTAACTCATCAAAGTGACACCGCCCTCTGTCTAAATGGTATTGTTGATCAGTGACTCCAGTAATTTACACGCACACACACTTTTATGAGACACGCAGATTTACCCATGTCTTTCCATCTTCATGGAATACCTTTCAGGATTGAGGACTTTACCTGCCCTGGACTGCAGGCAGGACAGTCGAACACTTGTCATGTTGTACCTTTGAAGAGTGGTGGTATAAAACCTGATTGATTGCACTTAGGAACTACTGTACAAAGGCTGTTTTTTGGGCCTTTCACTAATAATATATCATTTTAGGACTGTAATCAATTTTGATTTTGGTAAAAGAAAAAAACTTGATGGAGTTAGAGATTAAAACCTCTTTCAAAGCTACAATCATTTAACATGATTCTGTTTAAAGTTTGTTGAAGGTTATTAGACCTGATGTAACACAACTGTGATTAATGATAAAAACCTACCTGTGAGATTTTGAAATGACAGCGTCTGTCTTAGAACATTTTGTTCTTCCTTGTACTTTTGGCACCTTCCAAAATGAGCTGGAACTTGGCCTCCTATCACCTCTCAACATGTTGGCATTGTTTTGACTGGAAAAGGGGGGTTCTACATTTTTGTTAAGAGGGTATGACAGTACTTACTTGTATTTCAGTCATAAAAAATACTTTCGTACATTCTCTAATGTAATCTTAGTAATGATTAAATGATTGATTGAGTCATGCGTGTCCAAAGTTTGGGCAACATTTTCATTACGAAACAACTACGTGCATTTTGCAGCAAACTTGAACCTTGAGCTGTTTGCTCATGATTGGATCACCCAGAACAAATGTTAGCACATCCTGAATTATTGCAACGTCTTCCACACAGGGGTAACATAACCAACACAATAGAACAAACTGGCTAAGCAGTTTTGGAATTATAACCATTTACATGACCACAGAGTTGATCACATGGTTCTGGAATCTTGGAGGGCAGTTTATGGAATAAATAAAAAGTCACTCAGGGAACATAAAAGTGGGATATAAGCTGCATTAAACACCATGAGAGACTCTGTGACTCCCCCACATCTGTCGTTCACATTATGTAGTAAAATAATAAACACTACATCCGAACATGGCATAAGAAATATGGAAAGTGGCCTTTAATTTGTTCTTTTGAAACCTCTGTCTGTATGAAACTACTACATGTTGTTACAATAATGCCTTGCCTCATTGACCTCGGCTTGTACACAGTTGACGTCTTTGTACTAGTGGTTACAGGCAAGAGTACCCAGCCCTTCAAGGTGCCTGCTTGAAGGGAACATGCCCTCTGTAGACGGCCATCCCACAGTGCCTTGCGCAAGCCTATATCCCTCAGGCTAGGTTTATGCTTTCTGCATCAGCAGATTTCTGACTGCCAACATCCAGTGACTAATTTTTCATCATCCACCTTTGTCCACAGTGGTCCGTACTGAACTGCAAGCAAGTGCTCGAGCATTTTGTAATTATGTGGATTATACTGTGAACTGATCTTGCCTTGTGTACCTTAACATTTCCGAGTTCAGATGACAGAGATATTGAAACATAGACATCTTGTTTGGGTCACATGAGGGAGTCTGTCTTTAATTACAGATACAAAACCAATTAGTAAAATCATATACAGTATGGACCTAAAAATTGGACGGAACTTCGGGAAAGAGATCTAACCTTTGCACCAGTGCATTTTTACTTCAAATACATGCTATACATGTATGTAAGGAAAACTATTTCAAAGCAAAACTTCATTCTGTTACTCGCTGGCTTTGAATACACATTCAGACAAACCATGGGTGACGTTCTGTTTAATCATCTGTATAACACAGGAACTTATATCGACAGAGCTACATGCTGTTAGGTAAAGCAGGATTTATTTGTAAATATTTATCCGGTTTGCTATTTAATATTTATCTAGTTTGATATATTATATTTGTTTGTTTAGCTTGTGTCTGTGGCAGATTTTTTATTTTACTCTCAAAATTGTTGGAAGTCACACAAACTGATTTCTTCTGTATTTTATGTAAAGTGTAGAGACAGTTGTCAGAATAACAAGGTCACAGCCGCTGATTGAATATTTCCAGAATCCATCACAGCAAATTTCTTAAGCCAAAGATTTCAAATGACAACTCAAACGTTGTCTTTTCTAAACAAAATCCTTCCCAGTCGATCTCACCAAGATTGTGTGTATGTTAAAGACACTGATGTTTTTATCCAGGGTCTCGTCACACTTTTACACTTGTATAATGTTGAACACCTGCTTGGTGTTTCAACAGCTTCAGCTTTGATGTCTATGATGTACAACTTACTACATGCACAAAGCATTCTTTTACTCATATGTTTTCTTCCAACCATATGGCGTTTATTTGCTCTGTCCCACAGACATGAAACACTGTCAGTGTTTTTTTCTCTTGGCCATATGGCATGTGTGGGTGTGTGTGTTTAAATACTGCTGCTTGTGGTGGTGGTGATGTTTGATTGTTTATGGTCACACTCCATCATTTGCCCGTGTGTATTGTGGGGGAGTTCACCGATTGTGTGTGTGTCTATGTAGGAGGAATGCCAGCTCCTGACCAAAGCCCAGTGATGGAGGAAGGGCTTCTGTTGAACATCCGTGACACTTCAACTGGCCGCAGAATGGAGAAAGACACGACCGCCAACAACATCCTGGCTTCAGTCAAAGAGCAGGTACAGTTTTAGTTGTTAATGCTGAACTATTCCTTTTGGAAATTCCAGTATTGTAGTAAATATTTAGTTCATTTTGTATATGAACTAAATTTACTGTATTAATAAAACATGATGGGGCCCTTTTACGTGTCAGCCATGACCAGGTAACGTGACAGAGCTGGTGCTTTGATACCAGCTATTATTGAACAGATGTGGCTAAAGTGTGAGCAGCACATAAGCTAAAACTGTTTAATATGTTGGCAGTGTTTATTGTTTTCCTCAATGGTACTGGAATTGAAATAAAAAAGTTAAAAACAACGTTTAAAGGATAAGCAACATATCTACACGTTGTTGTAGTGAAAGGTAAAAAAACATATGTCTGTCACACTGGATGGTTGGATAAATGTGTGGTTGGCTGAATGGATGGATGGGTGTTGGATAGATAGTTGGATGAATGGACAGATGCATTGATGTTGGATGGATTTTCGGTTGGATGGATGGCTAGATGCTTGGTTGGATGGTTGTTGGTGCAAAGTCATTAGTGATTGGTGAATTTCTTACATGAATTCTATAATCTGCCTCTAGAGTAGCTCTACTTATTTCTCTACACTTTTCACATATTGAACAGATGTAACAGGAGACGTGTTAACAGCAGCAGGCTCAGCCTGGTGTCTCGCTGCAGTAGTAACAGTAACATTATCAAACACAGTACAGGCCCTGTGGACAATCCGCAGAAATTGTCTTCCACCCTTGCTCACAAAACTTCGTCTTATGTTCTGTGTTATATGATACTCACCTTTTTGCACTTGAATAGTCAATAATCACACACACGTGGCAGTCTGTTATTACTTTAACAAAACAGCGTCTCCTCTGGGCGACAAAAAAAATGATACGTTTGATGGGTTTGTGTGGGTTTTAACAAACGACATCATGCAGCAATGTTTGCTGGGTCACGTCCGTCTGCACCTCGGTTTATCTGTCGGTGGGCTAGATTCTTTGTCATTATGCAACCCGCACACCGTTTGGTCAGAGTGCAAGACAGATTAAGAGTAACTGTTACAAACTCAAGCATGAAGAGCAGGACTTTACCGGCCTGTTTGGGTTCATGGTGGGAACGTACGTTGAATTTTACTCAGTGGTACAAGTCAAAGGTTCATAAAAATGATTTTCACTTTGTTATTTTAATGGAAAATATCCCATAGTGTTGCTTTGATACTAGGATGATCCCAGGCTCATTAAAAGATTTCAGGGTTAAGTCCCCAGATTCCCATTGACTCAAATACTCCTGGCAGGGAGCCCAGTCTAGACATTTGTTAGTACTGTGTGTGTGTGTGTGTGTGTGTGTGTTATTTAAAACATGTTGATAACAGGGATGTGGCCCAAGGAGACTCTGTTTACTGCCTTCTTTGTCTTGTGTAAAAAATGTAAGTGAAACTGTTTGGCATGTTTATTGGCTGTGGTTGTGGCCTGGCTCATATCAGTCACCAACCAGGAAGATCATTCCCTGCTGGGGCTGCGAGCCCCTCTGACTGACTCACCCTGTTTGCCTGTCCCTGTGATTCATCCACACTAACCTCTCACACACACATAGAACCACACATGAAGTCACAAAGACAATGTCCTTCTCTGTCTGGCTGTTCTCCAATGTTCCATATTATTAGTAAACTAACACAACATAAACTTGGCTTCGCAGGTTTTTTCCCCTTTGATTATTGTTTTTCACTTTGTGGCTAAAGTGACGCAGTGGTAAGATTCATGACCGCTATGGAGAAGGTTTTGGGTTTGATTTTATCTAGTTCCTAATTCCAGATTAGGTTCTTCAGAAAGTTGATCTGGTGTCAAAACTATGCCAATCATAAGTGGAAGTGAGTGATAGAATCATTCAGGACAGTTTTTTGGCTTTTTTGGCTCGTGACCCCATTTTGACCAGAATCATTCAGGACCCAAAGCTGTTTGGCTCGTGACCCCATTTGACATCAAAAATTTCTGGCAAACCCCAGAACCATTTTTTTTTCTAAAATGAGTTTTTGATTATACTGTATTGCAAATACAGAGTCATAATAATAACATTTTCAAAAGAATAATAATTAGTTGAACATATTTTATCTTTTTTTTATCAATTACTGGACATTTCAGGCAACTCCACTCAAATTCAGGGCAACCCTCAAATGGGGTTGTGACCACAACACTGTATTATGCAGTGCACCACAGTGTTAATCCCTGTTGAAGGAACAAACCAAATGGGGTTTACTTTCATTGTTGTTTCTTCACCACTACACTCTACACTACAGTCTGGAGGTCAACATAAAAACAGGAGTGCTTTTTTTATTGTAGGAATAAAAAAATAAAATGTAGGAAACCAAAAGGATTTCAGTAATCTAGTGTCAGGTAACTCTAGGAACTCTATGTGTTTGTTTACATGAGTGAGAGGAGGTAAGGACAGAAGGAAGGAGGGAGCACCTGCTTGTCACTTCCTTCCCTCGACTTTTCCCCCAGTGGTTTATCCGGTCGGAGCAGATATCCACGCAGGCGAGCAGGAAGAGCGAGCGAGCGCACTGTGTGTGAGTCGTTGCCCTCTCAGTGACACACTCGAGATCTGCCTCAGAAGGGATTCCTGCTAAACAGACAAGACTGCAAAACGATTGCTTTTGTAACTGAATACCGAGCTAAGCTAAAGGAGTGAGTGAAAATCAGTCGAGGTCAGAGACCGGTCTTGTGTGAGTGTGTTTTCCCTCCTTTGTGCAGTTTGTATGAGGTTTTCCTGTGATTGTTGAGCAGCAGCGGCAGAGCTCCCAGGGATCTGTTGCTGATACAAACATGCAAGTCTGCTCGGCTGTATCTGTGGCCACGGCTGGGGCTGGGGCGTAGGATGGGGTTTTGGTAAGTGTAGTCTCTGCAGACTGTTGTGCTTTATTTTTATCTCAGCTAAAGTGTTTTGTTTCAGAAGTATGTGTCCTTCTAAGAACAGCAAAACCTGAAAAAGTTCACAATGAGATTCTATGAAATTTCACGTTGTGGTCAAAAGAGAAAAACGAGACCTTGGCGTAGACCTGGACTTGGGTGACTCTGATGTGTCTAGATGCTGTTTATAATTTGTTTATTTCCCCTTTTTTCTTTCAGTACACTCCTTTTCTTTGACAACACATTTCTTTTCTCTTTTTCTAAACTTCTATTTGTGTCACTGCTACACTTTCAGCTGCACAAGCTTTGCCCTGATGCCCAAACAAGGACAGACTTGCCAACATATTCTGATTGCACGTACTCAGTCTCCATGTGCTTGAACTCCTGTCCCGTTTTCTCCTCCTCTTCCTCCACCTCCTCCTCCTGACAGTCATTTATTTTTGTTGTGCTGCAGCCTGTATTAAGTATAGTCTTCTATTCTATTCTACCATGTGAATGGCACATCCATAATGACACTTTGAGCCTGTGCAGTAACAATGATCCACCATGTGAATGGCACATCCATAATGACTTATTACAGACCACACTTAAGTCCTAAAAAGTCAATGTTTTGCTGACTGCGTGTTTGTACTTGCTTCAAAGGATCCAAATTTTTGGCTTTCAAACATTGCTCAACTGGTACTTATCAAAATTGGATTTGAACCAAGGGAAGGTGAGGTGGGGGACAGCCACGGATAATCTAGGACCCAGATTTTTATCTGTCTTTTGTAATTAAACCTCTGCTGGCTGTTGCACTAACAGAGCAGAGACAATTTTATGGATTAAAAAAATCACTTTTAAGCATATGTGTCACTTTAAATGAGGAAATAACAAACGTTATAATTTAAATCTTTAGTTATTGGTTTATTAACGATTTTGTTTCATTGTAACCAGACTGTTCTTTGCCAAGAGGGTTGCCAAATGTCAATTACTTGCTTTGAATCTGTTTTAATTAAACTATAAGTAATATAAGTACAGTGTTGTGTTTTGAAAGGACAACATCAAGGAGTCTTTTTGGTAAAGAAATAAATGAGGAGGGAGCTAGAGAAAAAGGAATCATTCATAGAAGCTGAATACTACCTTCAATACTAAGTATGCTTAAGTATGGGCCAAAGGGTGGGAGAATATTTGGTTTTTGTGCATACCAGAAGGAAGGTCACTGGTTCAATTCCAGGAGCCAGCTGGTCTTTCTGTACAGAGTTTAAATGTTCTTCCACTGTGTGTGAGAGAGAGCGTAAATGGTTGTCTGTCTGTGTACGTGACCCTGATAAAAATGAAGCATTAAAGATAATGTAATTAATTTTGAGGTTCACTCTGGTGGTGGTTATCCAGTTTGGTCTCATCAGTAGAAAAGAAAAAAGAACCAATTAATACTCACAATAAAAGAAAAAAGAAAAAAGAACCAATTAATACTTACAATTTTTTATGAACCCTTTCTCCCTGGGCTACAGGGTGTCCCAAAAGAAATGGAGAATGCAGCTGCTGTGTTCACGCGTTCACTGCCTCTAACGTGCATTCATGGCTGCTTTCAATCAAGTGGCTTTTAAGTATCAGGTCATTAGTATTTTATAGCTTTTTAATGAATAGAGCGGTTGACTGCATTCGGTCAGAGTCAAGACTTTGCATTTAAATTCACATCACTGCTTGATAAGGGGTCTTAGCAGTGAAATTAACAGATGTCATAGGTCAGGTGTCTCATTAAGTCATGTGCAAAGTAATGAGCTTTAGAGTTTAGTGACTTTTTTATTTCTTTGTCAATTCTAACTTAATATGATTCTGCTTCAGGGAGTGTTCTCCCACATTTGTGTTGTTAAAAATTTGATTTATAAATGATTTATAATATCCAAAATATTACACTGTGGTAATTCTGACTAAATGGATTAGATATTCATTCATGAATTTTGAATTTTGAGTCCTAAAAGCTTTGATGGACATAAGACGTGGCAGTATTTCAACACTTGCAGCTACCACCATTTTCAAACAAAGCTACGGAGTGGTCATATTTTAATGATAAAACACAAGTGGGCCTCGGGCTGTGTGTGGTAAAGAAGTCTGACACTCAATAAGCAGTTATCAGTGAG